AAATATGGGGAACTGGATAATAAATTTGACACGCATGTACAGAAAAGCTTCCTTTTTCGTTCAAAAAATATTTCACGCTTTTTTGATGCGTTCTCGCGGAATGTCGTACAAAAACGTGAATGGAACTAAAAAATTTTGTCGTTTTTTGCTTTTTCATGTGTTTTCAGGTCGAACGCACTCCTTTTTTTCTTAAATAATGATTTTGATTCAAGTAACGGTAATTTTAAAACAATACAATAAAAAATTCGTCTTTGCCAAAAATTTTAGGGAGTGCCGAAAGTCGTAATTCAAAATTATGATTTCTTACATCATAATAGACCAGTATGAAAAACTTGTTCTAGAAGAAAAAAATCGAGAAAAAAATGTCTAAAACGCATAATACCAAAATTTCAGTACTAAAAATGGTGCGCGGCGCGCCACATTTATCGTATTAAAATTTTTTTCATCCTCAATCTTTTTTTGAAAAAAACTGAACGGTTCTGAGTTTCGAATCGAAACAGCTATCAAACCATACAAAACTCGAAGCTGAAAAAATTTTTTTGAAAATTCGTCTGCGGTCCCTAGCACTGGGCGAGGCATTCGAAAAAAAATTTCTTTAAAAAAATACAAAACTAATATTATGCCGCGTTTAAAGTAATAAAACTACACGCGGAGAAATTGTTTTTTTCCTGTTTACAGCCACGAGCCGAAATTATGCGCGCCGATATTCGTTGGCAACATTCCAACTCAGTTTTTCTTTTTCTTCTTTTTTTACATAATTTTTTTCTTTTTCTTTTTTTCAATTTTTCAACCCGTTCAAAGCTTTTAATTTCAGAAATAGTACGAATGAAAACCTTTAGTTAATTTTTTTCGACTGTTTGAACTTGAAAAAAAGTTCAATTTTTTTCTCAAATTTCGTATTTATCGTGTTAGTTTTTTTCCAACGGATGTATCAGAGTGTTTGAAGTTGCAGGTCTCTAAACTGTGGCGGGTCTTCGATTACCGAGTTTTATCTTTGAATAAGGTTAATTTTTTTATTCAAAAAAACATTTTTCTAATTTCTTTTTTTACAATTTTTTTGATTTTATTCACAAAAAAATTCAGATTCGTCAGGGAAAGACGGGCGGCTCGTCTGAAGGTAACGCAAAATGTTCGTCTCTACAGTCAAGCATAAATTCGTGAGTTTTTCTTGTTCTTCGATATTATTTTTCTTCCATTTTTCAATATGTCTTGTCTGTTCAGTTTTACACGAAAAAAATTAATACCAAGGTTCAATCAGCCTTTCTTTTTGGAAAAAAATTTTTCTCTTCTTTCAGGCCTAGATGATCGGTTTACGAAAGACACGCCGAAAGACTACACGTGAAACTTGGATCTCTCTTTATGGAACTTTTTTTCTAATAAAAAAATTCATTGTTTTTCTTCTGCATTTCAGAAAAAAAATTTGACAACAAAACAGTTTCTGTTATTAGGTTTTAAATTTGATTAACTAAGCAGCTTGTTTTTTTTTTCATTTATTCCTCAAGAAATTGATGCTCATCATCTTTATTCAAATAAAAGATGGAGGAAATAAATGCGTAATAAAACAAAAAAAATCATTGAAACAAAGGAGAATTTAAAAGCTGTGAATTTGACACAATCGAGACATGATAAATTGCAAATTTATCCGGCTGACCACAACGTCTTGTTCGAATGAGCTGAAAAAAATTCAATACTTTTTTTCTGAATTAAATGAACTAGTTATTAAGAGATCTATAGGGAAAAACTCACAAATTTCTTATTGCCCGTGTCGTCGAAAATTACGCGCTACCTTCACACGAGCCGCCCCTCCTCCCTAACGAGTCTGAATTTTTTTGTGAAAATAATCAAAAAAATTTTTAAAACATAATTGCGAAAAAAAGTTTTTTTGAATAAAAAAATTAACCTTTTTTTCAAATTTAACACTTTCGGTAATCCAATACCCGTCATAGTTTAGAGACCTGCAACTTCAAACACTCTGATACATCCGTTGGAAAAAAAAAATTAACACGATAAATACGAAATTTGAGAAAAATTGAACTTTTTTCAAGTTCAAACAGTCGAAAAATTAACTAAAGGTTTTCATTCATACTATTTCTAAAATCAATAGCTTTGAACAAGTTGAAAATTGAAAAAGAAAAGAAAAAATTATGTAAAAAAGAAGAAAAGAAAAAAAAACTGAGTTGGAATGTTGCCAACGAATATCGGCGCGCATAATTTCGGCTCGTGGCTGTAAACAGGAAAAACAATTTCTCCGCGTGTAGTTTTATTACTCACGGCGTTCCAAAAGGGAACCTCGCAGTAGAGAAAAATGAGGCAGAAAGTACCGCGCCTCAATTGCAGAAAACTGGGCGTGGTTTAGTTTTGTATTGGGAATTCAAAACCCTATTTCTTGTTACATTTTCGTTTCTGAGTGTTACTTCTGTGTTTATATTGTTCGTCAGCTCTGACTTCATATAAGTTGGTTGTGTCATGTCGCTCCTTGGCCGTTTACCGCTTTAGTTGAGGCAAAACGAAAAAAATGATAATTCGCGAGTTTTTTTAATTTACATGCCATGTATTCGACATCTTTCTGCTTGATTCATGTGCAGAATGAGTTAATCTACAATCTTAAATTGTTCAAAAAAATCTTTGTCGGCAAAAATAATTTTTAAACTGAATTTCATGGAATATTGTCAAATTTTGGGTGTTCCGCGCAAAAGACTAAAACTTTGTGGTATGTCGGTCAATCTTTTATTTTGATAGCTGAAAATGTTTACACAGGTTCATTCAAAAGAACATGGTTAATTAGAGAATTGAAACATTTTTAGAGAAAACCTGCGAAGATCTCAGAACTACGCAAAAAAATGAGCGTTTTTTTCCATTATCATTCTATGTGATTTTTTTGTCAAAACTTCTCAACAACATTCATTCAACTACGTTTTTACTGTCATTCTTTCATCTTTTTAAACAATGAATACCATAGGCTTGTAGCTGAAAATTTTTCGTAAAACCGATTTAAAGGTTGAGAAGCAATTATACGGATAATTGCCAGTGAAACTTCATCGAATTGCTTCTTTATGTTTTGAAAGCTTCCACTTTTCCATGGACATCATGATAATCACAAAAAATATTCTGAATTCAATCGAAACGTCTCAGAAAAAGTCAAAAACGAAATTTTAAGAAGTTGTGAATTTTCAAAAAAAAAGTTCTGTTGCGCAAGTACGCTCCAACGAACGCAAGGGCGCGGTAAAATGACACGCCTCATCGGCTCGCTTGCGAGTTCCCTTTTGGAACGCCGTGTACTTTAAACGCGGCATTAAGCTAGAATGGACAAGGATTCGTAGGAAATTAGGTAAACCAACCGGAGGCGCATAAATCGCTCAAAACTTGATTTTTGCAAATGTTTTTTTTTTCTTCAACCTGAGCAGCTCGAATTTGATTTTTTCAATTTTCAGCTGGCTTTCTTTCGGGTTATTCGAAATAAATCGCTTTTTTGAGCATCAGGACTTAAAATAATTGTATAAACATAAACAGCACATTCTCATACTTCAAAAATTAGCAGTTTTACGAAATCAAGAAGTAAACAAAACAACTTTTTGAAATAATTCTTTTTTTTTTAAATTGAAATCGTCTGAAAAATAGCACCAAATGCATTGGGCGAGGCATTCAAAAAAAGATTTTTTTAAATAAATTCAAAACTAATATTAAGCTAGAATGGACAAGGATTCGTAGGTAGTTAGGTAAACCAACCTGAGGCGCATAAATCGCTCAAAACTTGATTTTCTCGAACTTTTTATTTTTCATTAGCTTCGAGCACGTAAGTGAAAAAGTGGAAACTTTTTTTCAATCGATCAGTTTGGAAAAAAAGAAAAAAACTTTCGAATGGAAAAAGTAATTGGACTGCATAGAACACTCCAATAATTCAACGATGACTCTTTGATTTTCGTGCACCCGCACCGTTTCGATTTGGAAGAAGATCGAGAAAAGAAAAAAGGGAAAATGAAAAAAAAAACAGCTCTTTTCACATTTTTTCGATTTAACCTCATGACATTCATCCGTTCAAGCTATTTTTGGCGGAAACACCGCGCAGCTTGCCAAGTGGATGCGCAAAAAAGCGTTTGTATGGTGGTTTTTTCTACTTCTGATCAGAAGGCGTAACTAATTCGGTCGGAATTCATTAACCGAGCTCCTTTACCAATCTGGAGTTCGAGTTTATGGATATTTTTTTTTTATTTCATTGAGAAAAATGTGGAAATATTGACATAGGAAAACGTTTATTTGGCGTTTCTACCATCAGAAAAAAAAATTCGGGAAGAGGAGCCTTATAAAATGGTTTTTGCAGAGAATGACTCAAGGCGTCGCGTGACGTCACCGGGTCGGACATCTCCGAGTTTTTTTCGAACATTTTTTTCAATGCTTTTTTTCAAGATTCGCATTTTTTTCTCGATGATATTTGCATTATAAAAAAACGGTCTCAAAAATGGAAATAAATGTGAGAAAAAAACTCGGAGATGTCCGATCCGATGACGTCACGCAACGGAAGTCTCTAACAAAAAGTTGTGTGCACCCCGCGTTGAACTCTCCTGTACACCCCGCAGTGTAACCAGGAGTGCACCCCGTTTAGCTTCAAATGCCTATTAAGGTACTTTTTCCATACAGCATTTCGAAGTGGTTTGTTTTTCAATATCACAATTTTGTACCGTTTCATCCTAGGTCGTTACGGTAGCTCAAAAAAAACTTTTTATTTCCGACCGGTTGCCCCAGGGGTTCACCCCATTCAGTTCCAACGCGGGGTGCAGCGCAAACATCAACCAAAAGTTCACTTTTTTCGGGGTTCACTGCGGGGTAAACCCTCATTTTTGTTAGAGGTGTACCCACGCAAAGTGCATGCACGCAATGCGCTTTGCCGGATACAGTACTCCTCGCAAATGAAAGATTGCTCTTGTCGTAGAACCGTTGTTTCATTAAAAACAAATTGAAAGCATTCCCACGAGGAAAACATTTATCCGGCACTTTTATCATCTTCAAATCTGCGATATTTCGGAGTAAACTTTTTCCTTCTTCACGTATTTCGCGGTCTTCATGACGCAATCGTATCGCGCTATCCATTCTTTCAGTCTTTCGGCTCCCGCATCAGGAAGAACAAAATTTCTACATATACGCAGAATTTGGATGAATAGGAAGCGATGGACGAATAAGTACTGCTGAAAAAACGAAATTTCGAAGTTGAAAAAAAGCCGAAAACCCTTTTCAGTTTTGCTTTGGGTCAAAAATAATTGAACTAACTAACCAGTTCGTTTTCTACCGCATACGGCCGGATTCGGCGAAGTTTTTTGAAAAATTGGATCACATCGACGTCGAGTTTCTGAAAATTGTTTTTACAAAAATTGATAAATCTAGTTTTGCAGAGAATGGCTCGAAGCGTCGCGGTCGCGAAGCGGCTTAGGTGCAAAGCCGCTCGAGGTCGGCGGCAGTTTCAAGGTATATTATTTTTCTAACCGCAACTTTTTGAAGCCAATCCATGCTGTTTCTCAAGACCGTTGTATATCGAAATTCATCAAATTCTCAAAAGAGCGTGATGTGCGATCACTTTAGCAGCGTTATCCCCTCTTAAGTGATCTCTAGATTTGCACAGAAACGTCCGGAGCACGTCCGTTTTGCGTTACCAATGTCCGATCAAATACGCTTTTTTTTTTGAATATTTGAAGGATTTTGATATATATAGACAGTGGCTTCAATTTTTCAAGTTGTGGAATGTCAAAAATAAACTGACCCAGCCCCATGCTTCGAACATTGCGACCATCAGAGCATATGTCCCAGCCCTGCCCTGTCCTTTGGCGCTGTGAACCACAACTGGATTATTATAGCTGAAGGATGCGGGTATGATCCGCTGAAACGGAAAAACGACGAGTTTAAACGTATATCGAAAAAAATTTTTTGGAATATTTAATCCAAGACAGGTGCGGTTAGTCAATCCACCTAGTGGTTTTTTTTTTCTCCTTGCAACATCACCATACACGACATTTTTTTGGTGACGCCCCGCCCATATTTTTTTTGGTAAAGTGTAGTGTGTCGTGTGCATGCACCGTGGCGCTCTGGCACATGCCACGTTCAAAGTGATTTTCGCGAAATTCAAAATCATACCTGAATTTCTGAAATTTAGTTATATATTTTCCCTGGTGGCTATTTTGAATTTCGCGAAGTTACTTTAAATGCATAGGGGCAGTAAAAAAACGGTGTTTCAGTTCAAAGCAGTACTTTGTAGAGATTTTCATTGCGAATCGAACGGTAAACTTGGGAACGTACCGAACTTCCAAGTTTTGGAGAAAAAATAATTCATGCCGTGTTCAAAGTAATTTCCGCGAAATGCAAAATACCCGTTAGAGAAAGGAAAAGATCACTAAATTTTGGAGAGTCAGAGATCATTTTGCATTTCGCGGAAATTACTTTGAACACGACATCAAAGTCGGAGAGAAGAGAGTTCTCGCGAAAAGGGCGTTTTGCAGTAAAGTCGCTCTATGGACAACAGGCTTCGCCATCTTCCGGCTCGGACATTGGTAACGCGAAACGGACGTGCTCCGGACGTTTCTGGGCAATTCTAGGGATCACTTGAGAGCGTTGAGGCCACTAAAGTAGTCACTAGAAATGCCCCGACACGTCCGATTCGCGTCCCGTTCGCGTTACCAAGGTCCGAGGGATTTTCGCTTTTTTCTTCGTTTCTTTCAATTTTCAATTTTTTCTGTTGTCACCAAAGTTCTTTTCGTCACAAAAGCTTTCTATTCATGTATAATTTGCAAACATTGATCGCAAAAATGCTTTTCTGGTGAAAAATGATGATTTTACACAGGTTTCGATCGGGATAGCGACTATTTGTGTTTTCTTTATTATCAATGTGTGTTTTCTGTTTTCTTAATCATTTTTCAGAGTAGAAACCCTTGATTTGAAGCAGATATTCGGTTATTTCTCACAAAATGCGAGTGTAATGAGACGTCCGCAACATCCCGTGCACGGCTACTGTAAACCGTTGTCCGTACACCGATCCAAAGCATCTTTCAAAAATAAAGGCGGGAAAGTAAAATCGTGTTTTTCTTCTAAAGTTTTCACATCTGTAATTTTTTTGAGCACACCGTTGGATTCGTAAAAAGAAAAACTTTACAAGATATTACTTCCAGCTGAAACCCCAATTTTTTTAATGCCCGTATGCCTTTAAACATGGCATTTGTTTTTAAACAAATCAAACAGAAACAGAAAAATCGCGTTTTTTTGAAAGGAGAAATAGATTCGTCTCGGGACCCATTTATGCGCCTGTAATATTTCCTGTTTTTTACGCGTTTCCCCATGACGTCACATGGGAGCGGTCTTCTGAGACTCTTGGGAAATAAATTAGGAATTTCGGAGCATTCAAACCTTTTGCTTCTAAGTAGTGACGCAGTGAAAAAAATTCTCAAAATGAGATTCAACTGCGCCTAAGCCAGTAAAATGACGAACTGGAAGCTATTGTCGCCGTCAAAAATGGTTAGACGCAAAAAACTGGATAAACGGCGAAAGGAAGGTTTGCTCCAACGAGAAAATTGTTGATTTTTTTTTTCCGAAAACCCCATTTATGGGCAATTCCGCGCCAGCTTGTCACGTTTTTCTTCCCGCCAAAAGGCCAGGTCAAAATTGACCAAATTCGCTTCAAGACCTTTGTTTCTTGCCGTTCAAAAAGCAGAAATTTGATCTAATTTGGTATACGGTCTTTTTGGCGGGAAGAAAAACGTGACAAGCTGGCGCGGAATGGCCTATATCAATTTTTTTTTTCACTGTTTCTGTTTTTCCAGTTCTGCATTGAACTCTCAAAACGCCGTAAAATCGTTTTGTTAGCTTTGCGCTCCCTACTTACAAAGACAGCATTCCAATCTTTGAGAACTCCATGATCGGGCCAGATTTCGCATTGCCAATGGAGTAAATCTCTTTTTTCGTGATCGCCCCACGAAACCTCGAGCTGTCTTGTCTTTACCCCTTTTACGAATTCATGAGGACACTGAAAACGAAATACCATCACATTCAACAACGAAACTGTTTTTGCGCGAACTGATATCACATTAGGTGCCGTGCCAAAAGTCGATTCCATGCCTTCATTCTCGGGGAAATAACGCACGCTTTTCTTCTCGCCCTGAAAAGGGATTCGTACTGAAGAATAAAAACAAAAAGCAACTTTTGCCGAAGGTTCATCGAAACTACCCAACATGAGGACGTTAGTCACGTTTTCCTGGATTATCATTGCCCAAAAGTCGTAAACTGTGTTCTCGAGCGGAGTCTGCAAAAAAGCCAAATTTAAATTTTCTTTTACAAGGAGAGTGCGGAAGGGGAAATTCACAGATCTGCTCTAAACTTCTGTGGCAGGTAGTTCTAACTATAACTATAAAAAAAAATCAATCATCTGCTAAAGTCAATATTTTCCGACTTGGTTGGAATCAAAGTTGGAAGACGAGAAAGGCGGGCTTAGGCACGAGTTCAAATCAACTGCCAGCGGCTATTTGGAGTGCTCGTTTGAACTCTTTATTGATTTTTCCATTTTCACATTGAAAATGGTATAATTAGGGTCCGCAAGCCATTTCTTCAAAACGATCCAAAAAATATGTTTTTTACACTGTTCGATAGAGGAGACTGTCAATTTTCATAATCCGTTTAGTTTTTGAAAAAAGGTTTACTAAGAAAAAAGTTATGGGCAAAAAACTAGCGCGCGCGGCGTACAACTGGAGGCAAAATCTCACGGTTTACCCGCTGCCGCACGCTTTCTTTTTAAATGTTTTTGCGCGTTTCTGGACCGTTTTTAAATCGGTTTTCTGTTCCGAGAGGTTGTCAGAACTGAGCTTCATGTTTTGGTATGAATCTTTTTGTACAATCCTCATAAGAATTTTTGATAAAATATCAAAAAACTACTTAGAAAAAAGGTCAGAAGGAATTTTCAGCTTATTTTTCTTTTTTCTAATGAGAAAAATTATTATCATTTGGTTTGGAAAAAAGGGAAAAAAATGAAAAATAATGTTATTTCGAAATAAAACAGGAAAATGTGCAATTTGACTCCAAAAAACGGCTCCTGCAACATTTAAAAGTGCGCATCGGTGTGTTTGACGCAAACACAGTTACGAACGCTTGCACGAATTCTTCCAAAATTTCAAAAAAAATTGCCATTTTTTCGAGGTTTTCAAAGCCGTTATTTTTTTCGCGTCGTTTGATTTTTTTCATAATTTTTTGATTGATAGAGTTTTGAACGCTTAATAATATAATCAAAAAGTATAGAAGCGATCCTATTCTCTCATGCGTCAACGAGGCAAACGAAAAAAAGGAGGTTTTGGTAATATTCAAATATAATTTGATTCGCTGTCCCAATAATTATTTTTCATTCTGAATTTTTTTATTTTTTTAAACACATTGTGAGTTTTTTTAAATCAAATAAAAAAAGTATACCATGTCGCTGAAATTTTTTTCGCATTTCAGCTTCAAAGTTTGGTGTCACTTTACAAGCTTCGATTTTTCGCGTCGTTAGATTTTTTTAAAATTTTTTTACTCGAAAAAAATAAAGAAAGTGTTAATATATAACATACTCAAAATTTAGAAGCGTTCCTCACTTGGTTTTTCAGAAACGCGACGATTTTTGTGAAACTTGTCAGTTTTTTTCGTGTTAAATCTTACTTTTTTTCGCTTATTTTTTTGAAAAAAAATACATAGTTTAAAAAAATTTTTTTCAGTCTTGTAGAGCGTTGTCGATTACATAGATCAACAGAAACAGTTCATTTTTAAAGTGGGGCTTTAGCTAGTATAAACACCTCAAAACCGTTTCTGCAACAAAAAAATCGTCATTTTGGTGGCGTGAAGGGGCGGGGCTTTGCGCCCCCTAGGTATAATAGATTCGAAAAGAGGATATTACGACAAAATCTCAAGTCCGCAAATCTCGAGGACCGTAATCTTGTGTACGCAGATCTAAAGTCCCATAACCTTGGAAACCAAAATCTTGGAAACCGCAATTTTGGAAAGTAAAAATCAACGCTTTTGCGAATAGATTTTATCGGAACTTGTATTCGGTGATCCAAACAAGAGAATATAAGTAGATAAAGTGCAATAAAGAAGACTAAAAAGGAAAAATTTTTGCTTTCCAAGATTATGGTTTCCAAGATTTTGGTCTCCAAGATTATGGGACTTTAGATCTGCGTACACAAGATTACGGTCCTCGAGATTTGCGGACTTGAGATTTTGTCGTACCATCGAAAAGAGCGGCGAGTGAGCTTTTTAAACAGTTGGTGGCGCTTGAATTGAACTCGTGCCGAGGGCCGCGTACGCACACGCTACGCGTCCCGCCCACTTCTCTGCCTCCCTCGGCTTTTACATCGGGATTGATTCTGACATGGAGTGCCAAAAGAGCGCCACAACTCTTTCTCTGACACACACTATTTCGTCGTTCTCTAGCTGCGAGAAAACGATGGAATAGTGTATGTCAGGGAAAGAGTTAAGGCGCCCTTTTGACGATCTATTTCAGAGAACCGCCGGGCTTTTTTCGAAATGGAACTCAAGCTAGAACATACGTGAGTAGCCTTTAAATTCAATAGTGACGTCATTTCGCACCCTCCCCAACTGGCCAATCCGCAGCGCACGGTGCCATGAGCGTTTTCTGACGTCATTTTCGCTTAGTGTCGTGGTGCGGTCATTCATAATTTTTTTCCCCACGCATTTTTGAGGCAGTGCAACCGGCGGCCGGTGAATATTGCAGCTTCAGTTTGGAGATATAATTTTTAGTTTTTTTAATTTTTGAATTTGTCAAGGAACTAATTTTCGAGGTTACAGGATAATTTACTTCACAAAAATACACAATCTTCATGGTCGTTACCGGAAAAAGTAACTAACATGAGAGGTTAAATCACTTTGCGATTGGGTATTTCCTGAAATTTGGCCAGAACGCTCCTTGATTCACAAGATGAGGATCCTGTAAGTCTCAATCTGCGCAACTCCTTAGTTTTTTAGAAATAAGGGCTTGAAGCCTCAAAATGGCCTATTTTCAAGGTTTTGAGGGTTTTCTTTGACTTTGAGGCGTCTTTTCTCAAAAACGAGGAAGTTGCGCAGGTTGAGACTTCCAGAAACTTCTTCTGGTTCATCGAGGAGTGTTCTAGCCAATTTTCAGGGAAATCCCAACCGCAAAGCAAACCTCCATTGTAAACTACCGTAAAATATGACCGGCCTCCTCAAACAACCTTGCTAATCATTTTTTTTAAAGTGACATACATTTCCACGTTTTTTTTTTTGCATTTCAAGTTTGCACTACATTCCAACTCATCTACTCAGCGGAGCGAGGGTCAGAAGCTCTGGCACCGTGCAACAGTGGGAAGAGAGTCTCCGTCCACGACTGAGCCAGAACTAAACCTGGGTGCAAATTAATCTCTCAGGCGTAAGAGAGGTGCCATAATAATTTGCGTGGATGTAATCGGAAGTGACGCCGGGAAACTTCAGAACAACTCGTTTATCTTCCAAACACGGATAGTCAGGATTTCTGAAAGTTGATTTTGAAGTTTCATCGAATCGTAAACAAAAAAGGAAGGACACGGCGTTTTTGTTAACGGAAGAAAAGGCAACTAATAAAAAAAGGCGATTTCTCCGTTTTTCTTCGTTTTAAAACACATGTCGTGTTGAGAGTAATTCCGCGAAATTCAAAATAGCCACCAGAGAGTGAAAAATATATTTGAATTTCAGTTCACGAAAATTACGTTGAACGCGGCGTGCCAGAGCGCCGCAGTGTATGCACACGACACACTACACTTTACGGAAAAAATATGGGCCGTCGCCAAAAAACGCCGTGAGGAGCTAGTTGTTAGGATTTCAAGGAAACTAGCCTATTTTTCTCTTTGTCCATTGAGGTCGCCTTCCTCTCGCCTTTAAATTCAAGACATGCCAAGTTCAATTTCATGTATTCATCGATCAAACCGTCAACTCCAGTATTCAGACTCTCAACGAACCATCGCAGACTCTGAAAATGGGAAGAAAAATTGTGTAATAAAAAAAAAGTTTCAAAGTTAGATATTGATTGAGTCTACATCAATGAAAAGGTCGATTAGCTGCAAAAGAAGAGAACGAACTTCCATTCTCCCAATTTTTTTAGGAAAATTTCTAGTCTACTCAACTTCCTATAACGTCTCTAGGGCATGCTGGAAAAGTCGGTTGGTTCGGTCGGTCGGTCAGTTTGGAAAACTAGGCCACGCCGTAATATTGCTCCATGGAACACTTAGAATTTCAATCTTTTTTTTTCTTTTCTGAATTTTTGTTCCTTTTTCTATTTTACTAAGACGGTTTTCGCTTATTTTCATTCACTTGTATTGTTCTTGCGAGTAAAATACGATTTTACTACGTTCAAAATTATAAACTGATCAAGTTTTTAAAAATTCGTATTAATTTTTTTGGATCCAAAATAACTTTATATAACCAAATGAGTGAAATTAAAATTTTTAAAGCAATCGGATAATGAGATAATGTGTAAAATACACACAAATGAGGCAAGAAACAAAAATTACATCCAGTAAAACGTGAAAAAAATTACCTATAAAAACGATAATAAATAAGCAACAGTTTAGTTTGAAGTGAGGAGCATGTATCCTATATCCAAAGAAACTGATAAAAAAAGAAGGAAAAATGTAGAAAAATAGAAAAAAGTCTGAAAATCGATTTTCCATGGAGCAAAATTACGGCGTGGCCTAGTTTTCCAAACCGACCGACCGACTTTTCCAGCATGCCTGTCTCATGACTCAAGAAATTGAGTATTTTCTCGATTTTTCATCGGAAAAAAATGAAACTATCTAGAATTGAGTTGATAATAATTCCCAATCTTGACGATTTTCTTTACTCTGTAAATTTCACGTTTGCACGTGTTGGTGGTTTTTATTTGAAAACTCGTACCTTTTCGCGTCTATGGTGATTTTTACAGTCTTTGAATGAGAAAACTTGGGCCGGCATTTGGGGTGGAACTTCGATTATTGGGGAAGACACGGGTTGAGCTTGAGATTTGGTATTTTTCGGCGGATCAGGCTTTTCCAATTCTGCTTCCTGCGGTTCTGCTTTTTCCGGTGCTGCTTTCTGTGGTTCTGCTTTCTGTGGCTCTGCTTTTTTCGGCTTTGGTTTTCTGAAAAAATGAAAAAAAGGATGATATCAAAATCGGGAACTCACTTTTTGGACACACACATTGTTACCAGCCAGACGAACCGTACTCCTCAGCCGCAAGTAGATAAAATGTGGATTTTCACGTTTTGATTCTTTTTTTTTGTAGGAAACGTGGGAACTTTTTTTCAATTTTTTTTTTTCTTTTTTTATCATGTTTTAATTTGCCGTTTTTCCAGACGCGTCCGACCTAAAACGGTTTGCGAGCAGATGGATAATAGATTCGAAAAGAATTGCAACGAAGCCGCGACACCTTGGAGGTACCCAAATCGAGGTGAATTTTTTTTTTTGAACTTTTTGATGAAAGAGATTTTTTAATTTATAGTGAATTTTATCTACCAGTTGGCTATATCTGTCAAAGCGCTGGAACCAGAAAAAAATTGATACTTTTGAATTTTCCCGTCACAGGGGAGGTTATTTTAGTTTGAAAATTATTAAAAACTTGCCAGAACCCTTCTTGATGTACCAAATGAAGACCTTGAAAGTCTCAACCTTTAAGTTTTCGAGAAATAAGGGCCTAAAGCCTCGAATTAGCCTGTTTTTTATGGGTTTTGAAGCGACTTTTCCCGAAAACGAAGAAGTTTTGCAGGTTGGGTCTTCTAGAATCTTCTTCTGGTACATCAAGGAGCGTTCTTTGCAGGAAAATCCCAACCGCAAAATGAAAAGACCTCCCTTGTCGGTAAAAGACATTTTTTTTAGATTGTCAAATACTTTTAAACAACAATTTAGCTTGTAAATTTTTTTTTGACAGAAGCTGCGAATAATTATACTTTTTATACAGTTCATACAGAAAAGACAGAAAAAATAGACGTTGAATCAAAAAAAAAAATTTCATTGACAACCTTGACATTTTCTATCATCTGCGATAACATCTAGCCTTTTTTTTCAAACGCTTTTCCGCTTCTTGATGTCTTTGACGACCTTAACAGTCGTTATCAACTCCGATAATGTGTTCTTTTTTCTCCCGGGCTCGCCTCTTTTCAACCGTCTCAAATATTGACTTTCGAATACCACGCCCAGACACCTGACCATTTTTCCATTCTCACGATTTGTCCCAACATAAATTTATGCATTTTATCGATTTTTTGGTGTCTCTCAAAATTTCCACGACATTTTCTAGGAAAAGCTTCTCATAACGGAAAATCAGTTTTAAAAAAATCGGTGGTGTGAATAAAAGACCAGCGAAAATTCAAACGGCGACTTTTCCAATTTTTTCATATCGCTAGGGAACTTTCCGCCGAATCCCTTTGCGACTTTTGTCCCTTTTCTTTTTCGGTTTATAAAACATCTATCTACATTTTTTTTTTTCCTATTTCTTTGTGTTTTAATCTTGAATAAACTACCTGCGTTATATAGGAAGATTTAAAACGATGATTTTATCGAGAAAAAAAGTCGGAAAAAGATTCGGCGGAAAGGTGGCCGTCGGAAAGTTCCCTAGCGATATGAAAAAACGGAAAATTCCCCGTTTTAATTTTCGTTGGTATTTTTTTCATACCACCGATATTCAGTATTTTTTTTTCAAAAAATCCTAAAAAATTGTGTTCTACAACATATCTGATTTAGAGAAAATTTCACCCTAACGCTCATTTTTTTTTCCAACTCATCCTAAACCCAAATGGCGCAGAACAAGTCTGCGCCTAATAGTGGATTTCAAGAACTCGAGCTGTTTTTTTCATACCAATTTCATCGTTTTTCGAAGAAAAAAAATTGGCAAAAAAAAATTGCACCGAAAAGGATTCGAACCTTCCTTCAAGGTTCCACAGCGCAAGGTCGCTAGCCACTACACCACGCCGCCTGCTGGCAGCTAGGCTTAGCCGCCGCAACAGATTCCCCCCGTCCATTCAACGCATTTTTCGCGTGCAAACTTTGAGGCGCTATAACTCGACCAGAACCAAAAAGGCGCCCTTTTTTTCAACTTCTTTGGATTCAGGATGTCCGAAAGTATCTATATACCAAGTTCTATTAAATTCAAATACCTCGACCTTTTGCACTTCCCGTGTGAGGCCTTTTTTAAGCCGCTCCCTTTGCGTGGCCATTATCCACCATTCCGAGGACGCAGCTTGATTGACCTTGAAAATTATTTATTTTTGTAATAACTTACCCAAAAGCCTTCTAAGTGAGCACTTTAAGATTTTCTGGCTCACTTTAAGTGATCCCTTTGGGATTTTGCCGCTTTTTAAAGCTTTTGCGAAAGTGGCTCTAGTGTTTTTTATAATCATTTTCAAGTGATCTCTTAAGGGTACTTTTTGAGCAACTGCTATAGTGATCAATAAAATTTTCTCCTTTTTTTCATTGCTTCAGATTGAAAGTGAAAAGAAAGCCAAATTTCTCGCCAAACTGATGTTTTTTCCCTCACCTGACGTTTTTTATTTCTTTCAAAATGTTTTTTATGCCTTTTCATGATTTTTTCCCTTCTCCCTTTCTTTCTTTTTCAAAAAGGGAAATAAATTCGATTTTTTCCAGATTCATAGAAAAAATGGACCGGAGTTTCGACGAGGGCGAGGTCTATAATGGTTTGTTTGAATTTTGAAAATTTTTTAGAGTTTTTTCGGATTTTATTAATTTTTTAACGCATTTGGAAGCTTTCAGTTCAACTCCTGAATAAAGCCAAGTTTATTGAAAAAAAATTTTTTTCTCGGAATTGCAATCTGGAATTGAAAAACATCAAAGGAAGACTGTGAATAGATTTCAAAACTGGAAAAAAAAGTTTTTTCGAGAAAGGTCCTTTTTTTTTTGAAGAAGTTATATAGTCCATTCGCAGCGACTTGAAACTTTCTGTCTGTCTGCGTCTCTTGTTTCCTCTACGGCGAAGTGAGAGAAAAATGGAGAGAGCACGTCAAAATGAGAGGGTCTCCTAGAGACAAGGAGAGCGCAGAGAAAAAGAACAGTTTCAAGTTGTGAAAAACAGTACCTTTCTTAATTTTTTCACAAGCTTGAGCATTTAAAATATTCCTTGGTTTGGCCAGTGTTCTTGTTTTAAAGGCCAATGTGACGAATTTTGAGCATATATTCGAAATCAGCTTGAAAAACTGCATCTAATGAGCTTCTTCTCATTCAGGAGTACCGATTTGAGCTTCCAATATTACCTGCTAGTACTAAAATCTCTTTCAGTATCCTCACGAGTGCGTCTCTACGACGAAAAAGAGCCGTACTTCCATGAGGCCCGATTTTGCTGCGGCAAACTCGGCGGCAAGCACCTCATCTACATCTACACGGTGGCCCTCGTTGTCTACTTCTTGGTCAACGACTTCTTCCTCTTCGACATTTACCTCTTCGTGCCCCACATTTTGCTCATAATCACTTACATGTTTGATTCCCGAGCCATTTATAATAATATCATGGGTACTATTCGAAAAAGCCTGATTTCGCAATATGTTCTAGTCGGCTTCATTTTCATCCGGTATTGTACTCTTCTCACCATCAATGGTTTCTATTTCCGACCCATTGACGACTTTTACACCAATTATGTCCAAGCAATCATCCGCCTTGTCGAAACCCTCGCCCTGAGCATTGTTATTCATCGAGTTTCTCTCCTTTATCAGCACCGCTACTGGCTTGAACGTGTAGGCCACGACGCTAGCTGGCCCTTCAACGACTTGTATTGATTTTCGAGAATTTGTTTTCCCGTGATACATGTTTCTTGGACTGGTTAATTTTTTTAAAGAGATTCGATACTTGGAATAAATATTAAATCAACAAAGTATGCGTTTGAAAAAAAAAATCTTTTCGAATTGAACAGTTTGTTATTCCTTCTATTTTCATACAGTTTTCAAACACATGGTATTTTGAGTACCTGCACTCATCACGGCAGTCGTTAAGAAAACAAATATGCAGGGAAAATGAAGAAATATCAAAAAGACGAAGACATGTATGTTTTTCAGATTACGGTAAGTGTTAATGCCGCATTGCGGAGTTTGCGCTCTTCTACGCGCAAAAACGATTTCGAATTCAAAATTTTAGCTACTTTTTCTTTTTTTCTCATATTTTTGTTGTACGCCTTTTAAGAAAAGAACTAGGAATTATTTCGATTTTGTTGCTTGATAAAAAAAATAAGTTGTCCTGAAGATTTGATTGAAAGTAGACTTTTTTCTTCTCCTGAAAGATTATCTTTTTATTTCAATGTATTTCTTTTTTTCTCGTATTATTGGATATTGTGTCCGTTTTGTCGTTTTAATAATACTCTTCTACATTGTTTTAAGAAAGTTTTTTTCAGTCATGGGCAAAGAGAAGAAGTCAAAAAACAGGAAACGCTCACGTTCCCGAAGCCGCGATGAAAAACGGTCAAGAAAACGTCACAACTCGTCGTCCTCCAGTTCAAGTGATGATAATAAATTGGAGGTTTGTATAATTGAAAATTAAATTTAATCGAAAACTAAATTTCAGTCCAAACTGAGCGATGAGCGATCGAGACGTAAAAAGGAGCGAAAATTGGAAAAGCAGAGGTTGAAGGATACTGAAACGGCAGAGGAGCGGATGCTCCGGAGAAAAGAAAAGAAGCTGAAGAAGGTTTTTGGGAAAATTGTTTTTCATTTTGATTTTTGCTTTCTCAGGATCAAAAAAGAAAAGCGGCGGTGGAAACTTCGATTCCCGACGAGTTGGCCTACACGAACCTGAATAATCCGTTTAATGACACGAAATTGACGGAAACCTTCGTGTGGGGCAAGAAGTTGGAGCGTGAGGGAAAGTCTCACTTGTCGAGGAAGGAAATCGAGAAAGAGTTGGTTTTATTCAATTTTTTTTTTTGTTATTTTTATTGATTTTGTTGGCATTTTTTTAATCTGGTTCGTTCAAAAAAATTATTTCTGGTTTTTTTAAGGAGCACAGACAAAATTTTGAGAAGGTCTAGAGGCGAAAAAAACTTATTAAAAAGTATCGCCAGGGGTTTTTAAGAAAATTCGGTCAAAAAAATATAATTTAGAATTATTTTTTAGCGGAATCGGCCTCAAAGTTTTTTTGAATCATTTTAGTTTAAAAATTTCCAAGGTTTATTAGGCATTTCTGGAGGTTTTTTTAAGGTTTTTGAAGCTTTTTCCCAAAGGGATACAGTCATTATGAAAAAAAGAGTCGATATTTGAACTTGATAAACTATGAAAATAATGGGAAAACAGGCATTTCGGGCCATTTTTCTCTTCCTGGAATAATTTAATAGTTGTTTTTCGATTTGAAAAACTATTAAGGATTTATTTTTCTCCCTCAGAGCCCGGAAACGGATCGAAAGGAATCTCCACGAGGCCCAGGAGTTCAAAAGGGTCAGAGATGCCCGACTAGCGGCTCGTGAGGACATGGACATGATGCAAAGGGACGCCGACCGACGTGAAGTCTCCAATTGGGACTCCAAGGAGCAGCAGTTTCAGCTGGATCAAGCTAAGGTAGCTCTCAAGTGAAATATGGATTTTTTGTACCTTTTTTTTGTTCTCAGGCGAACCCTGGTAAGATGTATAGAAGCTAGAAGGTCCTGGGAAAGCATTTGAAAGGTGTTCGGAAGGTAGATGGAAGGCTATAAGAGAAAAAGCTTGTTGAAAGGCTTTCGGCAGGCTTTTTTTCTGAGTAGAAGGTGTTCAGAAGTTATATGGAAGGCGTTCGACTTTTTGCTGGAAAGCTTCCGAACCCCTTCTGAGGGACCGAAAGCATGTCTTCCCAACTTTTACCTGAGTTCCAAAATTATTCGATAGGACTCTTCAAAAATATACTTCAATTTTTTTGAAACAGTCCAATCATATGTTTTCACCCGCTAACTGTCAAAAAACATCACCTAAAAAGCACGTAAATGTCACTTTTAAAATCCGAAAAATTGAGCTTTTGTACTGACCAAGGAATGGTCTTTGGACGCAGTGAGACTTTTGAATGAGACCATCTTTTCTAGATGTAGCTTTTCTCGTAGATTTCAAATCAGATCTCAAAAATCGCCCAACACGTCGGTGAAAAAAGTTAGGAACTCTCAAAAGACGGAAATTTCGGTGTCTCGATTGAGCTTATTTTTGGAGGGTATGTACAGTACCGCCCAAACGGTTGTGAACTTTTAGTTTTTTTGGGCCTAACTTTTTCCCTAAGTATAGATATTAATCTGAAAAATTTTTTTCAGGACTTTTTGTAGGATTAAAATGTATACTCAAAAGATTTCACAGAAAAAAATATGCAAGAAAAAAAAATTTTTGTGTCATTTTTTTCGAAATTTTTGTAAAATACGAATTTTCCGAATATTCAATTTAAACCCCGATAACTAATCACAGCTTGGCACCGACGAGGCATTGAGTCCATCAAAGTATCGATGACCGAAACTATCGTATACTAACCCATTAAGCAGTCTTTCGAAGCTCGAGAAAAGATTTCTTGAAGATCGGTTGTTTTTCCAGCGCGCTAGACCTGAAAAACCAAAAGTTCACAACCTTTTGGGCGGTACTGTAGATCTAGTCTCTTTGGTTACAGAAAACCAGTATTTTTCAGGAAAAAAAAGTTGGAGCGATCATATGACTTTTCAAAATTTTCTGTAACCAGAGGGACAAGATCTACATACCCTCCAAAAAAGCTCAAATTTCCGACATTTGAGAGCCCCTTACTTTTTTCAAAGACGTTTTGGGCAACTTTTGAGACCAGATTTGAAATCAGGGTGGAAAATTACATCTAGAAAAGCTGGTATCATTCAGAAGTCCCTGGTGAACAATGTCTTTTGCTTTCTACATCTCAAAAAATTTAGTTCCACCTATCTCTAAAAAAAGAAGGATTTTCATCCTCGGAAATAAAATTGAAATATTCTAGGAACGCTCAAGGATCCGAATCGCACAGAACCGAGCGAAAGCTATCGATATTTTGTCGAGGTAGGCCTTGAAATTCTCATTTTTCCCAGTAACAGCCATTATTTTCCAGGTATATCCGGTATGGTGATGAGGATAAAACCGACGAGGAGAAGAAAAACGAAGAGGAATTTGAGCTGGAAGACCCCTTGAGCTGTTTGAAGGACCTGACGTCGGACGATTATGAGGACTTGATCGAGGATATCAAGGTGAGAAATGGAAAAAAAGTTTTATGTCTTGTAATTTTTTCTGCTGTTTTCATGAGCTTCAAAGTTAACCAAAATATGAAAATTTAATCAAATTTAAAAAAATTCCAATTGAAAGAGGTTTCAGTTTTTTTCGCGGTGAGACTCAGAAAAAAAAATTTTTTTCAATAAGAACTCAAGTATCTAGGCTTCCTCAAAAATGCGGCGAAAATTCAAATTTTCGCTCTCTTTCTTAGATTTCGATTTTTATTCATATATTCATTTTTTTCGGAAATTTCTAGCTCGTTTTGTTTCTCTGAGCTCATTTTATTGAATTTTGATTGCAAGTTTTTTTGTTCCTTCCGTATATTTTTTCTTGAAACCCCTAAAAATAACTTAAGTGTTTACTTTAAAGCTATCAGATTCATTAGAAATTTCAAAAAATGTTCAAAAATCCCGAAAAAAAACATAATTCCAGGTCTACCGCCGCCTGGAAGACGACAAGCACATGAGCTTCTGGACCGACTTCCGGACGATCGTCGACGACGAGCTCAAGAAGCGGCGGGAGGAAGACGGGCGTCGCGAGGGAATCCACGGCTCCTTGAAGACGGAGGTCATGGCCATGTTCAAGGTATGAAATATCAAGAGAAAAAAGGGATTTTCGTAAGTTTATCCGGGGAAATAGGCTGGCGCGTGAAACAAACGAAAGAAAAAAGAAATACTGATGGTACACTGAATCGGGAAACTAGTCCAATAAGATGACGTCTTTTTCGTTGCTGTCCTCTTGGGTTCTGTCGAGAGCTTTGGTCTTTTCGTCATTGCGAACCAGGAAAAGCCTGCAATTGGGGGTGAATTTTGGAAGTTGACGCGATTTATCGATTTTTAGAAGATCCAAATTCAGGATTGCGGAAAAAAAAATGAAGGTAATAGGTTCAAAAAAAGGTCTCAGAAGAGTTCCAAGTTCTGAACTGGTTGAAGACTTGATAATCCTTTGAAATGACTTCAAAGTCTTTACTGTCGATTCAAACAAATTTTCAATCTATTCTGGTATCCCTAAAATTTTTTTGAAAAAAGTGATATATTTTTTCTTCTGAACCTTGTAGAGGAAATTGAGGCCTTCAGATATCATTTTTTAAAGGTAAGATGAGTTAAAACGGTTGAAAGTTCAAGATTTGGACCAATTTTTGAAGGGTTAATCAACTCAAGAAGCTCATAAGGGCTCTAGAAAATTTTAATCGGCTTATTATTTCCGAAACAGCTTTTTTGAAGGATCTGAATCCATAATATCGCCTCTAGATAATTTACTAGTCATTAAGTGCATTTTAACCGTTAATAGCAATCTTTAGAGCTTTTAGAACCTCAATGTTGACTTTAGAAGTTAGTCGGTGAGCCAGGGGAGTATTCCTAGATTTAATGAACTCTACAGGGCTCTAGAAAATTTTAAATGAGTTTAGTATCCCCGAAATAGTTTTTTTTTGGAGCATTCGACGACTTTTAACGTCTCAAAGTTGCTTTTGAAAGTGTTTTAAAGTGCTGAAATGAACTTCAGAAGCACTTGATATGATTCTGGATAGCTACAGGACTTATGATTTTGTTTCTAGATACCTCTGTAGCCTTAAAAAGCGTTTTCACTAGTACTAGATTTTTCAAAGCTTTCAGCGACTCGAAGGTTGACTACATAAACCAGTCAGTCTATTTTAGGTCTCCAGAAGCCTTGGAAATTTCACTAGGATTCATTGAACTCAGCAGAAGCTTTCCTCAGCCTTCAGAGGTCTTTAAAACGTGCGCTTTTGGCCCTTTGGAGCGATAACTATTCACAATTTTCTAATAATCAGAACTATTTTGTGATCAATTCTCACCTCGGCAACTCTTCTGCCGTCGGCTCGCGCTCGAAATCAAAGTTTTTGTCGTGATCGGTGATGCCGCCGGCGATCGTGTAGACTTCGGTGGCCAAGACTTCCAGCTGATCGTATTCTTCATCGGAAACCGGCTGGAACGAGTTCTTCTCCTTGATGATCTCGTACATCCTCGCGAATCTGAAGAAAATGTTCTGTTTTTCAAGTTGGGTTCAGAAGAACCTAAAAAGAACCTCTACAAAATGGGCTTCAAATGGTTTCATAGGTTTCTTTTTTTCCTGGAAGTGGGAGAAAAAAGAAGATTCAGGGAAACTTTTGACACCTTTTTAGGAGCCCTAGATTCTTCTTTTTGAGGTCGTTTGGACTTTGCTCATTTTTGAAGAAAATGCATTAATGGCCATCCTCATGAGTCTCGGAAATAGTTTCCCTCAGTCATAGGAGGAGTGATTAAATCATTTTCGCTCTAATCATTACGATTTGCGCCTCTTATGGCGAGGGATAAGAGAGAACAGACAGGTCAGAATGCTTGTGCCGAATAGGTTATCCAGCGGAAACTCACTGAGGTGGAAGGTCGGAGAAAAGCAACTGATTGCACGAAGTCATCAACTTGCTGCCGGCCACTTGGTCATAAGGCAGAGCCTGCCATGGCAAGGTCCCCTTGAGCATGTAGATGAACAGGTAGAACCACGACTCGAGCTCTTGGCGACGCGTCAGACCTTCTGGAATTGAAGATTCAATTATTGCCATAAGAGTGATCAGAACCTCCTTTGTGATGAGCCTCCGGGGCGAAATCCAAAGAACCGACGTAGGGGGCCACGCCTTCTTCATTGACGTTCTGAATTGGATCATGAGAAGATTGAAAGAAAAATTCAGTTATCATTTTCTGAAGACTTGTGGTTATTCTGAAGAAATTGAAAGAATACGATGGTCTTGGTTAATTTTCCGTTGAAGCTTTTTGATCAAAAATGATCTATTGCCCTAGAATTCCACGACTATAACCTTGAGCAACGTCGATATATCGGCCATGAAAAGGTGTCGAGAAGAGGCGTCAAGGTGGAAGCTTCCAGGATTGACGGATCTCATCAGATAGCCCAAAGAATGCGTCGTTCTCATGATCTGAAAAATTCCCTTGACTTGAAAGTCTAATTATGAAGACACCTGCAAAATGTCGAGACCGAACCGTCCGCCAGTGCCGTAGGAAAATTTCCCGTGGCAAAAATTGAGGCAATCTTCAAGAGTCGGTCCGCCGCGGAAGTACAAAGTCATGTGGTAGGCGTCTTCGGATTGCCAAATTTGATGAACTTGCGAGAAGAATCGCCAGAGGTTCTCGGCTTCGGCCTGAAACGTCATAGTTCCTTCACCACTGAATATTCCGAGGAAGTCAAAGAAGAAATTTTGAGAATTTTTTGGTATCGAAGATTAGGAATTTTGGTGTAGAAAGCTGGAAGAGAAAGCCAAAAAAAAAAACGATCAAATGTGAAAAAGGAACTTTACAACCTTTACAAGATATGCAGTTAATTCATCATCAAATATACCTTGCAAAGAAAGGCGGCTTCCATGCGGACGACATGCGTACTCGCGTCGGGACCCACGCGAATCACCAATTCTTTTCCGTCGGCGCCGATTCCCAAATAAGTCGCGCCGACACGGTCGTCGAACCCGACCCGTTCATAAATCTGAAATAAAACTTTCTTAGAAGTCAAATTTTGAAAAATCTAAAAATACTGAGGCTTCCTAAGGTCTGGTAGCGTAAGTATCACAATAAAAAGATCTTCGTCTCGAAACCTCCATTAAAATAGTCAATGCGCCTTTAAAGACCTCAGTTAAGATTTGGAATCGTTAAAATCATTGAATATGTTCATAAATTACAAGAAAACCGTCTTTCGACCTTGTAATTTTCAAAAAACTTGTTCGAAAATGTTTTTAAAATGTTTCGAAAATGTTTTTTTTTTGAGTTTTCTAAAGGTTCTCATTACCTCGAATATTGAGAAAAACAGCTCTTTTTCTCGAGACCCTTTTTAAGTTAGTCGATGCGCCTTTAATTAGCCCTTCAAGGATTTATCGACGAATTAGCCGAAATAATGTACTTTGTTCAAAAACCTAATGAAAAACTATCTTCCAGTCTCGGAATTTTCGAATAGCAAGTTCAAAAATGCTTACTAAGGCTTCTAAAGTCTCTGCAAGCCTAAATTATCACAAAAAAACAGCTCGTCGTCTCAAAACCCGTATCAGATTCGCCTATGCGCCTTTAAGGACCTCATTTTATCAAACAGAATAGCAAGAAAAATCGGGAAAAAGTCATCTTCCACTAATCATTTTTTGAAATAACCCATTCAAAAATCATGAATTTTTTCTAAAGACTACCAGACCCTGAATATCACGAAAAACAGCGATTCGTCTCGAAACCATTATTAAGTTAGCCAATGCGCCTTTAAGAAAAACATTTAGGTTTATATCAAAAACAGACAAAAATCCTGGAGAAAAATCAAGAAATCATACCAAAAAAGCGTCGTACAGCTCGCCCGGCTCATCGGATCTTTTGAATTTATGAGCGAGAAATTTTCTGCGTTGCGACATGTATTGCCAAACACGTTCACGTGTTACGATAACCATAGAAAATTGGGCAAAGTTTTGAAAAATTGGAAGAAATGAAAATTCATCGTGGAGAAAAGAAAAATGAAAGAAACGTATGTGGCAGTGCCACGTGGACGGAAACGTTGGCCGGGACAGGGGTCAACAATTTTTGAGTTTTTTTAAAGTAGAAGAAAGGTAATTTTGATTTCATTCTTTGGATTATCCAAGAGAGCAGGCTTTTTTTTAAAGATGCTATTAGTTCTCAATTATTATTCAGTCAAACTGCTGTTTTTTTCATAATTATTGTGGTTTTTCCTTGTGATATTCTAACCTTTGGTGGGCTCTTTGAAAATTTTTACATAGGAAAGAATTAGTTAAATGAATTTTGTATACGAATATTCGCTGTTTTCTGCTACCTTCAAGACATCTTTCGAAGTTCCTTATAAGTTTTGTCGTTCTCAAGGATAACTTAATCAAATACCTCAACATGTCCATCAAGAACGTGTCCCGATTGGTAGCAAGGAATGCCGTTGATGATCTCGTAGGGCAAATCGTTCGGCTTGAGCATTTTCTTGGTTTCTTCTTTCTGAGGCATCGCCGGGCCGATATCGCCTTGGGGGACTTCAGATTTCTCCAATCGCAAAGATTTGAGCTGAAATAAGAATGAAAATATTTTGGTTTTAGAAACTTTTTTGGGAAGTTTGGGGTGTTTATGTGGAATTTCGGTGGTTTAAAGCGGGTTTTTCTTCTCAGTGTTCTAGAATTTTCGGTTTCAAAGTTTTACTTATGAGCTGGCAGGCTATAGAAAAAGAGATTTTAAGTAATTTTTCATAATTCTTAAGATTACTAGTATGATTTATGGCCTTTTCTGGCTTTTGGCGATGATTTTGGGCTTGCAGGAGTTTTTTTGATTAGGTGTGTATTTTGAATTTATTGCAGCTTATAAACCAGTTTGAAAGCTGAAAAAAATGAAAAAAAATTGTTTCAAGATAACTTTTTAAAAGTTAAAAAAATCCCACCTCTTCATGAATCTTCTCGGTTAACCCTTCCACGTCAGCCATGGCTTTTTCCGAAGAAATGAGTGAGAATTCATTGCGTTTCACGTCGTTTATTTATTTATTTGATTTAAAATAAGTTCAGAGATGACTTTTTTAAAAAAAATAACAAAATTTCAGGGCAAAACGGTGCTCGAACTATGCGACTTGGAAGCCCAAATCAGCTCCAGAATAAGCAAGGGCGGAGCGACAAATGCGCCCTATTGGGAAGGGCTTTTAGGTACAGAAAAAATCTGAAAAAAAAGGCTGAAATCGGATTTTAGAGCACCTGAAAGTGTACATCGCCAGGACACGACTTCGAGATCTGCACGGGAAAATGTTGAGATTGAAGTTGACCAGGATCCGGGAGGAGCAGATGCAACAGCTGAACTCCGGAGCCGGAAATGGTCCTTCGACGTCTTCTCAGGACACTTCGGTCGCTTTCCCCAAAAAGGAAGAGGTGAATTCAAGATTTTGATGGGTTGAGAAATATTTTATTGAAAAACTTACAGTAGGATGACTGAATTTAGAAAGATACTGAAAGATAAATTAAAGTTAGAGGAGAAAAATAGCCCTTGAAAGTTCAAAAAAAAAGCAAAGGAAATGAAGAAAAATTGAAGATCGTGGAAGACGACGAAGATGAAGACGACACCGAGGAACTGTCGAAGAAGGTCCGACGCAAGGTCGACGTCAACGAGCTCGAAGGCGCTGAGCTGGACGACGAACAACGGGAACTCCGCTGGCGGCAGCTCACCGAAGACCAGATCGAGACGGTCGCTTTGGAGCTGTACGAGAGGGGCCGCTACAGCCCCCCGTACAACGAGTTTGACGACACTATGCCTGGTGAGTTTTGCTGCGAGAAAATGGCCGTGGTTCAAAAAGAACTTCATGATAAATAGCTGCGTAGAAATGGCTTGGGTAAAACTAGCCGCGTAGAAATGGCTCATGAAAAATAGTTGATATGACCTGCTAAATATATTTGCGATAAAAAAAGCTTGTAAAGTAGTAGCCGCTTTGAAATTATTTGGCAAATCAGCCGCGTTGAAACGGATTGCAGAAATAGCCGCGTGAAAAAGCTTGGAAAAAATGGCCGTGGTTCGAAAAGAACAAAAAGTTTGAGGACACTATGTCGGGTGGGACAGTGAGAAAAAATAGCCGCGTATAAATGGTTTGGAAAAAATATCCGTGATTCGAACAGTGAAACTAGCTCATGAAACTATTCCAGTTAAGTTTTCTGCAAATGATAGCCGCGTTGAAATGGCTTTGAAAAAAGGGCCGTGAGGCGAATAGTGAAAATACCTCTTGAAACTATGCCGGGTGTGATAGTGAGAAAGGAATAGTCACGTTCCTGCAAATAATAGCCGCGTTGGAAAAAATAGCTTGGCTTGGAAAAAATAGCCGTGATTCAAAAAGTACAACGAGTTTATGAAAATATGCCGCGTGGGGTAGCGAGAATAAATAGCCGCGTCGAAATGGCTCCGAAAAATTATCCGTGATTCAAAAAGTACAACGAGTTTATGAAAATATTCCGGTTGGGGTAGTGAGAAAAAGCCTCGGTAAAATGGCTTGGAAAAAATAGCCGTGATTCAAAAAGTGCCAAAAGTTTAATGACTGAGTGCCGGGTGGCTTTTCTGTGAGAACAAATAGCCGCGTTGAAACGGAAAAAGGGTTGAAATTGGAAAAATTAGCCGTGTTTCAAAAAAGAATTTCATGATAAATAGCAGCGTTAAAATGGTTTTTTAATAAAATAGCCGCGTTGAAATAGCCCGCTAACATTATCTGCGATGGAAATTACTCGAAAAAGTTGCCGATTTGGAATGGCTTCGAGAAAAAATAGCCGCGATATAAAAAGTGCGAGGAAGTTTCATGACAGTATACCGAGCGAGTTTGCTGTAAGAAGAGATAGTTGGGAAAAAATGACTCAGAAAAATTAGACGCATTGAGATAGCTAGAAAAAATAGCCGCGTTGAAATAGCTTGAAAAAATAGCCGCGTTGAAATGTCTTGAAAAGATACCCGCGTTGAGATAGCTAGAAAAAGTAGCCGCCTTGAAATAGCTTGAAAAAGTAGCCGCCTTGAAATAGCTTGAAAAAATAGCCGCCTTGAAATAGCTTGAAAAAATAGCCGCGTTGAAATGTCTTGTAATAAATAGACGCCTTGAAATAGCTTAAAAAAATAGCCGTGTTGAAATGTCTTGGAAAAATAGCCGTGATTCAAAAAATAAAAAAAAATGCCACATAAACTAAATGAACTGTTTTTTTAAATATCTTGTAATATTTTTCTTGAGAAAAAGATAGCCGCGATCAAAATATTTAGCTCAAATGAGCCTCCTGAAAAGCCTATGAAAATGTGCACTTTTTGCGATTTTTTTCCTAAACTTCTCGAGTCATTTTTTTGATTTTTTTCATTTCAATTATTTGAACGAAAACTAATTTTTTTCCAGGTATCGAGGTGATTGAAGAGTCTTTTGATTCCAACGATTTGAAGACTCGACGGGCAAAAGAATCTCAAGAAGCCGGCTGCTGAAATCTTTGTCAATGTAGGAATTATTTAAAATCACGGTTAAAAAATGTATTTTTAGCCGAATGAATCGAAGATGATAGAAATGGCCAAGAAGGGAATGGATGGAGATGAGGCGACGTTCGCTGTGGAGGAACAGTTGGAGACGCAGGTTGGGAATGGGTTTTGGTGTAGCTTGGAAATTGAAAGTTCGAGATTTCGAAGGAAATCAGATATTATCCATGAGAAATAAAACCAAGTAAAACTCGAGAAAAAAATCAGGTTTTATTGAAAAAAGCAGCCGTTTTGTTAAGCTCCAGTTACTTTCTAAGCATACGGCTCGAATTCGGCCACAAATCGGACTTTTCTAAGGAATTTTTGGAATCACTTAAGGGGGCTGAGGCCGCTAAAGTTATCACTAGGAAGCATTCGGCCTGAAACCGGCGCAAATCTGGCTTTTCTAAGCTATTTTAGGGATCACTTAAGGGTGCTGACGCCACTATAGTGGCCACTAGAAATGCTAAGAAACGTCCGGTTTGCGTCAACGTGACCGGAAAAATTCTGAAGAAGAAAAATTTGGAGTTCGTTAGAGCGCAAATGACGCTAAGTACTAAGGACTATTATTAATCAAAATTTATGCTTTTCTGGTCTGATTTTTAATGAAAAGAACATTTCTAGAAAGCTTCCATCACTCTGAAATCTTTTAAAAAGAAAAACTCGGACGAAAAAGAAATTGTGAAGCTTCAATAAACCTAAATTCTGCGAGAAAAATAGCTTTTTACTTTCAAAAAAGGGATAAAGTGTTCCTTTTTTTTGGAGCAAATTTGAGATTCAAGGATTTTTTTGTACAGATTTTCTTGTGAATTTTTGTCGCAGTGAGTTTTTCAACCAGTTATTTTTCATTATAATCCGAATTTTCACGTTAAAATCCCGATTTTTTTTCCAGAAGCACCTCTGGTCCGACAAATATCGACCCAGGAAACCAACGTATCTGAATCGCGTCCAAACGGGCTTCGACTGGAATAAATACAATCAGACACATTATGATATGGACAATCCGCCGCCGAAAATCGTCCAGGGCTACAAGTTTAATGTGAGAGATTCCATGAAAAATTTGTTTTTTCAGGGTTTTAGGCTCATTTTTTGATGGAAATGTTGATTTTAACGTTTTTTAATATGATGAAGGTACCTAAAAAACCCTAAATGAACCTTAAATACCTCAAAAAACAAGAAAAACGACTTATTTTGGGACCAAAAGTTTCCTGAACACTAAAAGAGTGTTAGTAGCATTACTAGGGATTTTTAGAAATTGGTAGAATATAATTAAGATTTTTCAGTTTTATCTAGTCTAAAGCTACAAATCTAACCATTTTTGCGGTTCCTTATCCAAAAAATGACTTTCACTGGAAGAATAATTTCCAGATTTTCTACCCCGATCTTCTTGATAAGACGAAAACGCCGACTTTCACGGTCACTCCCTGCGATGATCCGGACTTCGCAATCGTTCGTTTCAAGGCTGGACCTCCCTACGAAGATATTGCTTTTAAGGTATTATTTCGGATGAGCTCCATTGAGAAAATAAAGAAATTCACTGCGAAATGAGGATTTCAGAGGCTTTTTTCCAATCTTTAAGGGGGCTACAGTGAAAAATGGTCTTAAATTATTTTTAGGCGTTTTTCCGGGCTTCCGCTGTTAATAATAGCTTTTTTGCCTGAAAATTATGCTCTATTGCAAATAAGAGAAGGGATTTTATGGCCTATTTTGAACTTCAAGTGCGCTCCATTGATAAAATGGAAGATCTTCTTCATTTTCGACGATCAAGCTTGCTTGATTGATACATTATAACCAGATTTGTGCAGGAGCAGTCCGTCAGCCCCCGGGCCTTTTTTTAAGCTCCTGTCGACCACCCCCCGACCAATAAGTAAGGAAAATATTAGAATTTTTTTAGTTCAAAAAAATCCTGTCATTAGTTATTGATTCACACGGAAAAACTATAATTTAATAATTTAACAAGTAGAATGAAGCCTGACCGCAGCCCGGGCAAGCTTTTACACAAAAATTGAGACCCGGGCCAGCCCTCCCAGCCTGGCTTCAACGGCTCCGAGTTTTCTAGACGCATAGAGGATGGCTCAAGACATTTTTTATTCCATCTTTACTTAGCGCAAGTAGTTCCATGATCGGTACACGTTAAGCCGGAAAATATACCATCAAAGATCTTCAAGGAAATGAAAAATGACCATTTTCAAGTCGAAATTCGTTGAGCGCAAGTTGTTTTATGGTCGGTTCATGTTAAGCTGTTAAAAATGCAACCAATACTTCCAAAAGACATGAAAATTGAATTGCCAATTTTCGGTGTCGAGTTTTGCTGAGCGCAAGTCGTTTTGTGGTCGGTTCATGTTGAGCTAATAAAAATGCAAGCAATATTTCCAAAGAATACAAAAATTGCCAACTTTTAAGGTCAAAACTCGATGATGCGCAAGTCGTTCATAGTCGGTACACGTTAAGCCATTCCAAGTGCGACCAATATTTCCAAAGGAAAAGAAAACTGCCCATTTTTAAAGTCGAATTTTTTTTTGAGCGCAAGTCGTTTTGTAGTCGGTACACGTAAAGCCGTGAAAAAAGAAAACAATAGTTTTTCAAAGACATGAAAATTTCCATTTTTTTAAGTAGAAAATTTGCTTTGGCGCAAGTCGTTTTTATGGCCGGTACACGTTAATCTGTAAAAATGAGCTCACTAGTTTTCAAAGGAAATGAAAATTGCCAATTTTTAAAGTCGAATTATGTTGAGCGCAAGTCGTTTTATGGTAGGTACACGTTAAGCCATTCCAAGTGCGACCAAAAACTTCTCAAGGCTTAGAAAAACCGCCATGAAAATTGCGAAAATATCCATTCTCAGATTGTGAATCGCGAATGGGAAGTCCTGCACAAGAACGGGTACAAATGTCAGTTCCAAAACGGCGTCTTTCAACTCTGGTTCGTCTTCAAACGCTACAGATATCGACGATAACTTTTTCCTTGTACCATTTTTGTTCATTCAATTGGTGATTGTTGTATCTATTTATTGTTTTTTCGTACCCGAGTTCCTTTTTTTTGTTATGAACTTGTTTAATAAATACTTTGAGAAGAAATTTATTGGTAAATCCATTGGGTTCATTTTCCCCTTGTTCTTCTTTTTTATCATTGGAAAAGGTTCATTTATTGCTGGCTTAAGATTGAATGTACTCAAAAAAGGCGCTTTTTTCGGATTATCCAAGAATTTTAGACGTTTTTGGACTAATTGTCTTCAAAATTAGAGTTGTAAGTTGTAAGAAACATGAATTTGAAGCTCAAAATTCAAAGTTAAAGGCACAGGAACTCCTATGCTCCTTTAAAATCGAATCTAAAGGCTTATTTTAATAAAGAGCCACCATGCGCCTTTAAACTCGAAATTAAAGGCGCATGAAACCTTTTTTTTCGTATTCCAATTTTTAAAGGATCATAGGCTTCTGAGCTTTTAGATTTTGAAATAAAGGCGCATAGTCTCCATGTTCTTTTAAATTTTAGGTTTGAAGGCACATGGTGGTTTTTTCTTGCTTCTGGAGCAAGTTAGAGGTCTACACATGTGCCTTGAAAATCATTTTTTTAAAGGCGCATAGGGGGGTGAAAAATTTTTTCCCCGGGTTTTTTGTAGATTTGAGAGCAAATAAGAGACCTATGTGCCTTCAAATTCAATTTTTAAAGGCACATAGGGGTCCCAAATGATTTTAAAGGCGCATAGAAGTCACAAATTGGTTCTAAGGGTCCCAAGTTATTTTAAAGGCTCATAGGGGTCGCAAAATGGTTTTAAAGACGCATAAGGGTCTCAAATGATTTTCAAGGCGCATAAGGGTCCGAAATGATTTTAAAGGCGCACAGCGGTCGCAAATGATTTTAAAGGCGCATAGGGGTTCCAAATGATATTAAAGGCGCATAAGGGCCCCAAATGATTTTAAAGACGCATAGGGATCCCAAACGCTTTTAAAGGCGCATAGGGCTCGCAAATGATTATAAAGGCGCATAGGGGTCCCAAATTATTTTTAAGGAGCATAGGGGTCCCAAGTTATTTTAAAGGCGCATAGGGCTCGCAAATGATTTTAAAGGCGAATAAAATTTTTCATGTGATTTTAAATCTGGTTTTGAAGAAGTTCTAGTAATCCTATATCCTTAAATCAAAAGATAAAGGCGCATAATTATTATATAATCAAGAAAAAAATGAGGTTAATTTTTTTCAAGTCTTGCAAATCTTTCATTTTTGACAAAAGTAATTATTTTAGCAATTTTTTTGCGTTTTTTTCACATTTCATAGCAGCGATAAATGGAGTATAACTTCAAAAGAAAATTATTCAAAAATCAACTTTTCAGCATGGGAAAGAAGAAGGAGAAGAAGGTTAAGGAGCCTTTGTTGGCCAAGAAAGAGCCCGAGCTTGTGGCCAGGCCGAACAGACTCGGGCTCATGAAAATAGAGCCCGAGCTCAAGTCGAAGCCTCAAAGCCTCCTGAAGTCGTTCCTCGACTACTTCCTGCGGCTCTTTTTCACTGTTAATGATCGCGGTTTCGTTTTGATGGCCTCGGTTTTGATGATTATCGACGCCGCTGCGACCTACTTGATCATACAGAAAGTTCCTTGTGGGTTTTTGATTTATTGGAAATGAAATATGTGAAAGTTGTGGCTGAATGAGAATTTCGTGGATCTTTAGAAGAATGGCCGCATTTGGAATGGATTTATTTGTGAGAGGAAAATTTAGAGGTTTCTGAAGAGTTTGAGCCATTCCACGTGCGGCCACACATGTACGCAGAAAAATCAATTATTTTTGAAAAAAAATTCTTTTATATGTTCCAATCAAAAAAAGAGGTTGAATACGAATAATTTACTTTGAAAAATATGGAAATGTTTTTTTAATGATCCCTAGAAGCTCATGGCGGAATTTGGAATGGCTTGCCTAATAAGAGGAAAATTTAGAGGTTTCTGAAGAATTTGAGCCATTCCACGTGCGGCCACACATGTACGCAGAAAATCAATTATTCTAAAGAATTCAAAAAAATATTCTTTTATAAGTTTCAATCAAAAAAGAGGTTTAATAAGGTAATTGTATTTTTGAAAAAAAACACTTGAAAAAAAAAATTCAATTGTTCTCTAGAAGCCCGCATTTGGAATGGCTTGCCTCAAAAGCGAAAATTAGAGGATTTTTAAGGATTCCAACTTCGAAGATCCATTGCACGTCGAAAAATAAACTTAAAAATTAAAATTTCAAGTCGAAAAAAAGTTCTTAAGCTTAGAAAAATCTGTTGGTACCTATAGAGGGAGTTGAAGTAGTCGTTCGATTGCTCTAGTGGCCCCTATAGGGGGAGTTGAAGTAGTCCCTCGATTGCTTTAGTGGCCCCCATAGGGGGAGTTAAAATGGTCCCCAGATGGGAACCTTCAAGGGCCTCCAAGCTCACCCCTTTAGGAACCACTCTGGCATTCTTAAGCAAGACTGAACTTTGAGAGAAGTTGATTTTTCCTGTCATATCATCCATTTAATCAATCTACAGACACGGAAATCGATTGGTCAACTTACATGCAACAAGTCGAATGTTATACCAAAAAAAGGATCTATAATTATTCGATGATCACTGGCGACACCGGCCCCATTGTGTAAGATCCCAAAACGTTTTGGAAATCACTAAAATAAATTTTTAAGTTATCCCGGCGGCCATCTCCATCTGTACCACCTTCTCTATCGATTTACGAATCGCGGAAAGAATATCAAGCTCGGGCAAAATATATTCATGGGCTTCTATCTGGTCAACTTGCTCGTCGTGATGCTCATCTACAGGAAATCGAAAACGGTTTGGACTTTTTTCATGAAGAAAAAAAGGGTTATAGTTTATCCATCCTTATCTTCTTCTTTTTTAAGACTTTGTAGAACACTAAACTTTCCCGATTTTCGGAATCGTGGCCCAAATGGCCGACTCGGTAGTGTACCCGACCCAAAACGACTTGCGCAAAAACACATCGAAATGCCTAGATACTTCCGTGTTTTTGAATATTTAAAACCGTAACGCAATCTTGTCGCTTAGAGCCTTTCGGAATGCGACCTAGATATTAATATTAAATATATAGAAAAGGCTGACTCGGTAGTGCACCCGACCTAAAACGACTTGCGCAAAAACGAGTCGAAATAACGTATTTAAATTTTTTTTCATTCCAATATATGCATCATTTTCCAACCGTAACCCGACCGTCTTCCTTTGAACTGTTTCCGGTGTGAAGATTTCCAAATGGTGGACTCGGTAGCGCACCCGACCCAAAACGACTTGCGCCAAAACGAGTTGAAAATCTTCAATATTTCCTTTTTTTTTCAACTACATTCAATGCAATCGTGTCGCTTAGAGCCAGTCCAAAGGTGAATTAGTTACAGTTTTATAATTACTGGTTGATTCGGTAGCGCACCCGACCCAAAACGAGTCACGCTAAAGTGATTCGAAAAATCTAGATAGTTCCATATTTCAAATGTATGCACTATTTTCCAACTGCATTGCAACCGTGGCGCTTTGAGACATTATAAATGCGAACTAGATATTGAAATTTTTCGGAATGGTTGACTCGGTAGTGCGCCCGAATTAAAACGACTCGCGCAAGTGCGCATCGAAATGACGCTTCTTCCATTTTTTGCAACCATGTACACATTTTTCCAACCGCACCGCAGCCGTTTCACTTTGAGCCATTCCAAATGCAAACCGCGTGTTTGATTCAAGACGAATAATGTCTATAAGAACTCCCAAGACTGGGGTAAATGGATTATTTTCTCGAAATCAGATCTTTTTTTCAAAAAATGACCCACTTTTCCAGATCCCACCAATTGTCCTGCCGCTCCTCTGCCTCACCGGCTACCGTATCCATTCGATTTTCGTCTTGAGACTCTTTAACGATCCCGTCGCCATGCTGTTCTTCTACTTGGCCCTGAGCCTATTCCTGTCTGAAAAATGGCTTCTTGGAAGCTTCATGTACAGGTGAATACATTTAGGAGTTCTTCATAAAGCCCTTTTTTTTTTTAAATCACAATTTTCTCAATGGAGCAAGCTGACAATTCCAGCCTCGCGGTGTCGGTCAAAATGAACGTTTTGCTCTTTGCGCCGGCGTTGTTCTTCACGTACCTGATCTGGCTCGGCCCGGCCAGAACCTTCCTCTACATTTCCGTCTGCGCCATCGTTCAGCTCTACGTCGGCCTTCAGTTCCTGGCCCACGACCCCATTTCCTATATAAAAAGGTCCTTTGACCTGGGAAGGGTCTTCTTCTTCCAATGGACCGTCAATTGGCGATTTTTACCCGAATCGGTAGGAAAATCAAGTGCGCTCTATGGATAAAAATACTTTCTTACAGCTCTTCCTGGACCCTCACTTCCATGGCGCATTATTGGTCGGACATGTCACGTTTTTGGCGATTTTCGCTTGGAAAATGTGGTTCAGGTATGCTAGGCATGAAAAAACGGCCGCTAGTAGCGGATTTTGTGCGCTCCACGGCGAGTTTCTAAAATTTCTACCCCATTTATGGTTCTGGAAAGGGAAGAGATACATTAGAGAAGAAAAATCAGGGTTTTTTAGGATTATCGGTGGAGCGCACAAGTTTCAAATCACGCGGCTTTTTTTTCAATGCTTTACTTATTATCTAAAACTTATACATCAACTCTTCGAAGGCGAATTTTTAAGTTTTCTGAAAATTCTGTTCATTTTAGCCATAGAGCACATTTGTTTTATGATACGTGGCTATTTTTTCTCAGATGCATTTTCCGGTTTTTTTTTGTAAAGTTTGCGCATCTGAAATTTTTTCCGGTATTTTAGTGATTTTTCATCTTCTGATTACCCATAGAGCACATTTGTTATATCTAACGCGGCTTTTTCTCAGTCATGGTTTTTTTCTGTAAATTCATGGAGTCTGGAAGGTTTTTCAGTTTTTTATTAAGAATTTTTTTTTTTGATTAGCCGTGGAGCACATCAGGTCGATGTAGCGTGGCTATTTTTATATATGATTTTTCGAAAAATTAGTTTTTTTTTAGAAGCGATGGAGGATTACCCCTCGCGCTGAAATTCCTATGGAACAACGGCATTCAGACGCATTTTCGGAGGGCAGGTGAGAAAGTTTAAAGGCGCATCATGGAGGGTCTCGAACGGAGTTCCGATTCTTCCAGTTTTTATCGTGATCTTGATGAAATTATTTTATGTCAGTAAAGTACGGAAAAAGATGAAAATTTCTCTCTTCAAGACCCTTTTCTGAATTTTAAGCCCTGCGCCTTTAATATCTACTTTTTTCAATATTTTTTTCAGAAGTAATCTTCGCCTTTTTCACCGCCAATTTGATCGGAATCACGTTTTCGAGATCTTTACACTATCAATTCTACAGTTGGTACTATCATCAGGTAATTCATAAAAAATTAGAAAAAAATGAAAATATTCATTTTTTCCAGCTGCCATATCTCCTCTTCTGGAATTGGATTGTTAAAGATCCGAAGGATATTCCGTGGCGATCTATTTTTTGGAAGTTAGTTTTGGGAAGAAAATTGGATCTGAAAGCATAGAAAAAATTGGAAAAAGCTCTAAAATACCCTGCTCTCACAAGTTTTCCCAACGGGTGAACCCGTATTAAGCCCATTTTAAGATTATTCGAGTCTGAGTTAGTCTAAAACGGGTTCAAGAAGAAATAGATGACCCGGCTGAATTTATTTAGAAATTTGGAGAGCTCACTGGACCAAAACGGGGCCTCAGCTTCAATTGAAGTTCTACCAGCTTTGCTTAAACGGGCTTAACACGGGCAGACCCGCTTTAGATCCCGTTTTACCAACGGGGGTTAGCCCTAATCAGCATGAGAGCACCATTAAAAATAAACGCCTAGATATAATTTATAAAGTAGAAGTAAAAAAGAGTCCTGATTGGAAAGAAAAACAGTTCTAAAAACAATTTTGAAAGATGGAAAAAATTTTCAGCCTAAAAAAAGTCCCAGGGAAAAACCGCCGCGTTAAAAAATGGATCCGAAGTTTAGCCGTTCCATTCTGAATTTTAGCCGTGGAGCGCACAAGTTGAGACTTTTACAGCGGCTTATTTTTTTAAGCAGTCTTGACTATGTGGAAAATTTCCGGAATTTTTAAGATGAGGTAGCCTTGAAAATGTGGCGAAAAAGATGAAATCAATAATTATTTTTTTGATTGGAAAAAAAATGTCGGTTTTTCAAATCAGCCATGGCCCATGGGTCACGAAAATCTCTGTCTATTTTGGCTTTTTTCCATCGAGATTTTTTCTCTATCTCTTTTGGCCTAAATTGAAATTTCAAATACGCAGACGCTATAAATTTCGAAAAACGTGTTTTTGGTCGACCTTTATGAACTGTCTTCGTAGGTAATCCATAAAATTCACCTTTTGCCAAAAAATCTTCATTTTCAAGTGTGGATAATCTTCAAATTTGACAGAGTCCTCGTCCTTCTCGGCGTTGAAGTCTGCTGGAACGTCTACCCATCGACAGTTTGGTCATCGGCGCTTCTCCACGTCCTCCACGTCATCATCCTCGTCTACAGTATCCATACGCGACTCCCCGTTGCCGACCTGACGAAGGTCTCTGAACTGGACGACCTCGAAGACTTCCTCTCCTCCGACGAAGAAGAAGAAGATGCCCTCGAAGAGTGGGACGACGTCGATTACGCTGAGGAGCGTCACGACTACGTCCCGCCAAATTTGGACAAGGCGATGCCCAAGAAAAAGTTCGGCGAGAAGTTCCGGAAGGATGTCAAGAGGTTGTACGGGCATCGGTTGAAGGCGTCCGCTAAGTGATTTTTGGATTTTTAAATCCGCAGAAAAAACAGCTTTTTGAGAAATTCATCCATAGGGCGAAATTGGTCTAGGGAAAATAGCCGCCGAAAAAATAGCTCCCAAATTATTTTCATAAATCGCTCTTAAAAGTACATCTGTTGAATGGAAGAAATAGCCGCAGAAATTTGGTTTTATTTAAAGCTCAAAGACGTTTTTCCATAGAACGATATTGGTCTAGGAAAAGTAGCTGCGAAAAATAGCTAGTAGACGATTTTCAGAAATCGCTCTGTTGAATGGAAGGAATAGCCGCAGAAATTTGGGATTTTTTAAAGCTCATAGACATTTCTCCATAGGGCGATATTGGTCTAGAAAAAAATAGCCGCCAAAAATAGCCAGCAGCTTATTTCTTATTGAAATTATTTTATGGATAACTCTTATCACAGAAAAATAGCCGCGCAAAAAAAGGAACATCCTAATTTCTAGACTTTGTCCAATGGAGCATGTTTAATGTAGAAAAAATAGCCGCTTTAAAATAGTCAGTGTGTTATTTTCAGAGCTTCTTGGAGCTCAATTTTTCATGATAGAAAAGGCCGCCTAAGGAATTACATAGAGTGTTCCATGGAGCGAGCTTGGATAGGAAAAATAGCCGCGGAGTATTTTTTTTAATTCATAACATCTTGTTGTATAAGGTGATATATGGCTACGAAAATGTCCTAAAATAGCTGTTTTAGATTTTTCACAAGGCTTCCGAAGCTAAATTGATTAGCCCAGATTAATTCAAAATTTGATTTTTTTTTATTTCTCCATGGAGCGCAGAAGCTTTATGAGAAGTCCTTCTTTTTCATTTTTTTTTTTCAAAAAAATCAAATTTTTAAAAACCAAAACGAGGCATTGTAAACCAGTTAAAAGAACTCAAATTGAAAGAAATGATTAATTTTTCTTCATTATCAATAGAGCAAACGTAGTCGATGCATTGCGGCTATTTTTTCCAATTTTTTTTCGCCATGCTTTTTTTCATTCTCATTTTTTTCAGATATATCATACATTTGTTATTTAATTTATTCAAATTTTTCGTGTTTTTTTCAAAGATTTTTCTGTACATTCCTTCTGTATCAGTTCATGTAAAAAAAGGGTTTTTTTGTCGAAATATTTTTGTTACTATTTATTTAATAATGAGCCTCGGACAGTTCTTTAATTTTTCCTACGAGTTCATTTTTATTCTTGGATATTTTCAGGGTTGTGCTCATCAGTTCACATTTTCCATTTTTTATTGCTCGATTTGATTGTAATAATAAATTATTTATTTTTTCGGCTTTATTTTTGTTTTTTGCTATGGTTTCGCTCCATTTAAATTTTGAAAAAAAGGTTGATGTCATTTTTTTTTTTGGAGTTGTTTAGATGAATAGTCGACGATTACTGGCCGGCACGGTCCATTTACTACGGAATGGAACTTGCGTCGCTTTTGCCGGCACTTCAGGGGCCACTCAGAACTCATTGGTGAGATTCTAAACTTAATTTCATTTAAATGACCACTTGAAAAAAATATTTGAACAAAAAAATAAATGGCACAGGAGCTTTTTTTCATACATGATAAGGCGGTCTATAGGGAGAAGCATGGCGAATTTCAGAAAGGACCCCTGGAGGGACCACTTGACCTTGAGCTCTTGAGTTCTCTTTTTCAAACTCTAGCTAGAACTTTCCACTTAAGTGAACACTCTGTGAAATTTATGACAAGTTTTTTTTTTACGTCATAAAGGCTTCTCATTTAACTATAGGTCTTTTGATTGAAATATTTTTCACCCCCCTCCCCCTCCTGAAGTGACCACTTCATTTTCAAATCACTTAAGTGACCGTTTGACTTTTTTTTTTCAGGACTTGCTGAAGCTAGAGCACGTTTTGCTACATTTTTTTTTCTTTTGAAACGTGAAGTTTTTGTGTTTTTTTTTATTATTTATCGTTATCTTGTCAAATATTGGTGGCAGTCTATAAGGAGGAGGATCGCAAGTTTCAGAAATGGCCCTGGAGGGATCACTTGAGTTGGAGTTCTTGTGGGCTCTTTTTCAAACTCTAGCTAGCGCTCATCACTTAAGTGACCACTCTGTCAAAAGGGCTTCTCACTTAACCTGAGGTTTTTGATTGAAATATTTTCAATCCCCCCCCTGAAGTGACCACTTCATTTTCAAATCACTTAAGTGACCATTTGACTTTTTCCGGACTTGCTGAAGCTAGAGCACGTTTTTTTCTACATTTTTTTCTTTTTGAAACGTGAAGTTTTTTTCTGTTTTTTTATTATTTTATCGTTACCTTGTCAAATAGTGGTAATGATACGTTTCAAGTTGATCATTTCACAAATTTTTACGAATTTTTCGCAGTTTGTACGCTAAGCTTCTCAATAAAACCAGTTAGAAGACAAATAAAAAAACATAAAATAAATTTTTCTCGGACGCTCGTTTTTTTAATAGAAATTTCTGTTCTGTGGGGAAATAATTAAAATTTTGAATTTATAAAATTAAAAAAATGTTCCGATTGAACTAGGTCTCTGGCCTAGAAACTCCTGAAGTTTTTGATTTTTTTATCAGAAGAAAGCTTGAAATTTTTGCAATTTCAGTACAAAAAAATTACATTGAGAAAAACATTTTTTTCTTCAATTTTTTTATTTAGGAAATTAAGTTTCGAATGAGAAAAGTGGAATAAAAAAATTCAAAAAAATTCAAATAATCAAGTATTTTTGATCCAAAATCCAAAATTTTAATCGGAAGTTTCGCATTTTCAGTACGAAAAATTCCATTGAAAAAGAGTTTTTTTCTGCCATTTTTTTTAGTGAATTGAACTTCGATCGTGAAAAGTTCAAGTATTTTGACACGGAATCCTAAAGTTTTGATTTCTATCAGAAGAAATCTTGAATTTTGCAATTCCAGTACAAAAAGTACACTAGAAACCGGTTTTTTCTTCAAAAAATTGAGCAAGGTTTAGAAATTTGACAGTAAGTTTCAGTTTCTTTTGAATTTTTCCACAATCTCTGATTTTCATCAGAAGACAGCTCTAAATTCTAAAATTGCCTCACGAAAAATGAATTTTAAGTTTTTATAAGCGATTTTAAGACAGTTTATCTTCTCAAAGTGTTTCGAATGGGCAAAGTTTAGGTATTTGACCGAGAAATGAAAAAACGACAACGAGATTGGGCCTTTTCTCAAAGCGACTACGATGCTGCTCAATATTTGAAAGAGGAGATCGGTTGGCGGGTCGCTGATAAGGTCCGCATTTTCCAGGAATCTTAAAAAATTCCAAAAATTCAGGTCTTTGACCTCACGAAATTCAATCAATTAGTGCTGGACATTGGCTGTGGCTCCGGGTATATTGCGCCTCACTTGATCAAGGAAAACGTTGGGAAAATTATTCAGGTAATGGAGTTGAGGTCGCGTTTGGAATGACTTCACGCGTCCGACCCGAAACGACTTGCGCGCTCTCTGATTTTTCGAGGCTAGATTTGAAATTCCATTCGATCCGCTAACCTCACACTGCACGTCTTGATTGATTGAGGTTGCGTGGCGATTTGCAACCGACCTAAAACGACTTGCGCGCTCAGAAATCCAAAATGATCATAATGCTGCTAAATATTGAATCTTTAAAGTTGAAATTCCGATCACAATCAAGAATTTACTGCTACGAGATGAACCATTGACCTCACTTTGAATAACTTGGTTGGTAGGAACTTCGAAACGGTTTGCAACCGACCTAATACGACTTACGCCGAAAAGGTTATAAGGAGTCATTTGATTTCATCTTTTAAGTTTATAGAGCTATTGATCGCACAATAAATAGTCAAATGCATAGCGTTTGCAACCGACCAAAAACGGCTTTTACCCTATGGCATCCAAACCATTGAAGTCAGAATCCGAGACGATCTGAACCATTCCAAACGCGACCAAAAACAAAAAAAGAGAATTGGAGTCAAAATAATCGATTTTCAGGTTGATATGAGCCGAAAGATGGTAGAAAACAGTAAAGGATGCGATGATGAAAGGGTTTTTTAATTTAATTTTAATTTTTTTCAAGGTTCTGATAATTTCCAGGTAGAAGTAGAACGAAGGTGTGTGGATGAGGAAAAATTGGACGGATTTGAAGAAAATCAATTCGATTTATTAGTCACGTCAATGTCGGCCCATTGGATCAATGCATTACCGCAATGGTGAGAAATTTTTTTAAGATAAAAAAAGAATAAAAATTAAAATGACATGAGTATGGTTTTTACCAAAAAAAGGTCTTTTTCGCAAGAAAATCGCGAATTTTTCCTTCCTCCCACCAAATTCTAAAAAAATTGCCCCGCATCATTCCAGAATTTCCCTCACCCCATTCTAGAATAGCTCCCAAACCATTCTCGAGTTGCCCCCCCCATCGTTCTATAACCCCCCCATATCATTATAGAAAAGCCCGCCCCCCCAGACCATTCTATATACCCCCAATCATTTCAGAATTTCCTCTCACCCCATCCTAGAATAGTTCAATAGCCCCCTAAACCATTCTCGAAATTACTCCTCCCCCGGTTTTGGGGGTTATTCTATAATCCCCCTCATCGTTCTAGAATAGCCTCCCCCTCCCCCTCATCGTTCTAGAATAGCTCCCAAACCATTCTCGAGTTGCCCCCTCATTGTTCTATAACCCCCATATCATTATAGAAAAGCCCGCCCCCAGACCATTCTATATACCCCACCCAATCATTTCAGAATTTCCTCTCAGCCCATCCTAGAATAGTTCAGTAGCTCCCAAACCATTCTCGATTTGCCCCCCTCATTGTTCTATAACCCCCCATATCATTATAGAAAAAGCCCCCCAGACCATTCTATATACCCCCCCCCCAATCATTTCAGAATTTCCTCTCAGCCCATCCTAGAATAGTTCAATAGCCCCCTAAACCATTCTCGAATCATCCCCCCCCCCAGTCGGCGGAGAAGGGTTATTTCCTACACCAGTGGGGGTTTTGTGGAATGATCTTCTAGAATCATTATATAATGTCCTTCTACACCATTCTAGAATAGCCCCCCACATCACGGGGCTATAAGAGCTATTATCTAAAAATGGGGGTTGGGGACATTTTGGAACGATCCCCATTGAAAGGAAGCTTATTGGAAGGTTTCTGTTCCTCGGAGAAAAAAAAGTCGTGAAAAGGGGAATGGTCTATATTTTTTCCTATGAACCATGTTCTGCTTTTTTAGGTTCCACCGATGTCATCAAATTTTAAAGCCCGATTGTCCCTTCATCGGCTCAATGTTGGCCGAAGACACTTTATACGAACTTAGGTGCTCTTTACAATTGGCTGAGGTTTCCTAGGACCCTTTTAGGGTCTTACGTCAACACTTTAACTCAGATGGAACGTTTGGGAGGCGTCGGGTCGCATATTTCTCCTTTTGTTCGGTCCCAAGACGTTGGCGGACTTTTGAATTCGGCTGGTTTCGACATGATCACACTGGATTCGGATGAAATCGAGGTTTTCAATTTCAAAAATCGAGCCGGAAATATTCTAAAAACGGGCTAATTTCCTTCAGGTCGGCTTCCCGAACATGTTCGCCTTGATGTACGATCTACAGCTCATGGCCGAATCTCACTGTACCCATCGGAGAAGTTTGACTCTACGAAGGGATGTTTTATTAGCCGCCGAAGCGATTTATAAGGTATATTTGTATTTCTCAATGGAGCGCATTCGACCCCATTTCACAGCATTATTTCAGATTTAATTAATTTTTCTGAAGCTCATATTTCGTTATTGTTATCAGTGGAGCACATTTGACATAAATTTTTAAGCTAATGTTTTAATTTTATAATTGGGTTCTGAGTAAGTGACTTAGGGACTTAGTTGTAGGAAATAAAGTTACCTGGATAAACTGCTTAGGAACTTCAGAGTGGTCCCTATAGGGGCAATCTTAGGGGCCCTTGGGGAGTCCACTCTAAGTACGACTTTGCCAAACCCTATAGGGACCCCTTTAGCGTGAGGGGATGAGGGTCAAACCCTTAAACACTATAAGGATCACTTTATTGGCCCCTCTGGGGATTATTCCCCCTCCCCCCCTCTAACCCCTATAGGGACCACTTTGGAATCCCTGAGTTAGGAAAGAAGCTAGAAGTTTTATCTTCCGTCTTATTTCCGACTCTGAAGCTAACTGATAGCTAATCGTGAAATTATCAACAGAGCACATTTACTCTCGGAAAATCGCCTTTTTTCAGTCAATGTACGCCAAGGACACAGTATATCCGGCCACTTTCAAAATTATCTCCTTTATCGGATGGAAAAAAGGACCAAACTCCCCGAAACCAGCCAAACGTGGCTCTCAGAGTGTGTCCTTGAAGGTCAGTTCTATAATTTGTTTCTGAAACGTTTTTTTCTGTTTCAGGACATTGGAAAGATTGTCGAAGACCCGGAGCTGATGCGGAAAATCAGCGAGGATAGCGGGAAGAAAAATAAATAAAATACTCTTTCTATGTCGATTTTTTAGGAGAAAAAAAATAAAATATTCATCAAAAGATAACATGACGTCATGAAAAGAAGAAAAATCTCAGAGTCGATGAAGCATTCAGAGACGAAGAAATATTCTCAGGAGCTTACAGAGACAGGAGAATCAACTGTTTGTAACTCCAAATGCTGATAATTCAGCAGAACATTGAAATACGAAAGGCGGCAAGTCTGAATATTTTAAATGAGGCTCAAGCCACTGATCACCACGATCAATAGAAAGCTGACAACAAGACGAATCGACTGATATGATTAGATAAGCTGTAGCTGCTCTGGGAGCCGAGATATAAGCCTTCGAAGTTTATCTCAAAAAATAAATTTGCGCGTCAGATCAAATAAGTTGTGTGAAGATGCGCGTCGGGTCAGGCGCCTGTCTGAGGGTCTCATCGGTGTGATTTCCTCGCGAAAAGGGAAATGCTCAAAAAAAATTTGGTATTTTTCCAGTTTTTTCTAGCGTGACTGATAGAAAACCTTCTATATGGTACTATTATCATATCAGTTCCAAAGGAAAAGCATGAAAACCGGGTGAAAAACGGGTCCGAAAAAGTCGCATTTTTTGACTCTTCATGCCTCATATCTCTGTTCATTTTGAAGTTACAGAGAAACTGGTTATATCAATCGATTCGTCTCATTATCAGCTTTCTAATGATATAGGTTTCCAAGAGTTCCGACTAATTTGCATGACGTCACCGACTTTTCCAGCTTATATCTCAGCTTTTCCCTCAAACTGGTCAAAATGATAATCAATCGATACAATATTCAGATATGAACATATATGTGTTATTCAATCGATTATAACTTATCAAAACGAAGAGTTATAAGCTGAAGCAAACCTCAAGCTTTTGGATGAAGCTCGATTTGATGATGACTTGTGCCATTCGAGAGCTAATAATGAGACGAATCGATTGATATAATCAGTTTCTCTGTAACTTCAAAATGAACATAGTTATGAAGCTTGAAAGTTCGAAAATTGCCATTTTTTCGGATCCATTTTTCACCCGGTTTTCGAGCTTTTCCCTCGAAACTGATATGATAACAGTACTATATGGAAGTTTCTCTATCAGTTACGCTAGGAAAAACTTGAAAAAATCAAACTTTTTTTTGAGCTTTTCCTTTTCGCGAGGAAACCACACCGATGAGACCCTCAGATAGGCGCCTGACCCAACGCGCAACTTCACAAAACTTATTTGATCTGACGCGCAATTTTATTTTTTAAGACAAACTTTGAAGGCTCATATCTCGGCTCACAGAGTAGCTACAGCTTATCTAAACATATCATTCGGAACGTCTTGATGTCAGCTTTCGAATAGTGAAAGTAGAAATCGATTTCAGCTTCATCCAAAAGCTTCAGACTTGCCTGAGCATAGCCTCGGGTAATAAGATATCAATCGACGCAAAATGACGTCTTGAGTTCGAATACCCGACTGATACAATTAATGAGAATGTGATAGTCGAATTAGAGCCTCGCAAAGTTGGTGACTTACGAGACTTCAAAAAATCATAACTTCTTTCATAGGTGTTTAGGAACTTGGAGACCTAGTTTTTCTTGATCTTTGTGATCTCTTCTATCGATTGATACTACTTTCGTCCTACATTCCATTTTTCGATCTCGAAGTTTGATCGCCTCTAACTCAGTTCCTAGTTGACCTACAGAGGTCAAACCAGGCCTCTGGTTATTTTTTCGTCGAGATCTATCGATTGATATAGGTTTCATCCGGATCGGCTTCCTTGACTTCAGAAGCTCGAAATTAACTGAAAGGGTTAGACTGTACTTTTTTCGATTTTCCCGAAAACCAAAGTTTTCGAGATTTCTTACATCAATCGATAGGGAATGACGTCAGAAGCCGGAAATTCCAGGACAAACCGTTCTTAGACGCCTAGGAATAAAGTTATAATTTTTCAAAGTTTTCAAAAAGTCATATCTCAATTCTCAGGAAGTTAGGAATTTAGATACCTAGTTTTTCTTGATCCATATGATCTCCTCTATCGATTGATACTAATTTCGACCTACATTCCATTTTTCGATCTCGAAGTTTGATCGCCTCTAACTCAGTTCCAAGTTGACCTACAGAGGTCAAACCTGGCCTCCGGTTATTTTCTCGATGAGATCTATCGATTGGTATAGTTTTCGTCCGGATCGGCTTCCATGACCTCAGAAGCTCGAAAAAAACTGAAGGGGTTAGACTGTAATTTTTTCGATTTTCCCGAAAACCAAAGTTTCCAAGATTTCTACATCAATCGATAGGAAATGACGTCAGAAGCTCCAAAATCCAGGTCTAACCGTTCTAAGACGCCTAGGAATAAAGTTATGATTTTACAAAGAGTTTAAAAAATCATAACTCCATTCTCAGGAGGTTAAAAACTTAGAGACATAGTTTTTCCTGATCTGCTTGACCTCTGCTATCTATTGATACCAAAATCGGACAAATTCAAAGTTTTCAATCTCCAAGTTTGATCGCCTTTAACTAACCAGTTCCTAGTTGACCTACGGAAGTCAAACCTGGTCTTCGGTTGCTTTCCCTCGGACTGCTTTCATTTTGAGGTTCTCTTCTAGAGCAAGGTCTCGGGGCTCCAGATATAAACGATTCACGGCTAGCTTGGAACGCAAAAAGGCGTGGCCTGTCTGCACTCTCCACTAACCGGGGCACTGTCTCGTCTCTTTTCGTGGCAGGACCCTTTTCTCGATGGCTCAAGCCAGCCGTGAATCAGCTATACAATATTCGCAGTATTATAATCTTGTCAAGACTTATCTGAATGAGCTATGTACGGAAGAACGAGGCGAAGGACCTTGAGACCATGCTTTCAACTTGATCAGCTTCTCATTTCGACTTCTAGTTCGCCAAAGCCGGTTGTTCGATATAGCTTTAGAAGTTTTTGTTTATTCCTCCTCTTCGGTTACATCTACGAGGAAAATAACAAAAAAAGATAGATTGAAAGGAAACAAAAAAAAAACTATGAATAACATGGACAAAAATGGAGATTTATTGAAAAAAAGGACGCACCATAAATGTGAATTAAAAACACGTTTTTCAAGTCATCGAAAAATCTTTCAAGATCCAAAAAAAAATTTTAAAAAAAAACATATTCATTAAATCTTGAGAAAAATGGCAAAAATCGAGCCGGAAGATTGAACCATCGACTATCCGATCCATGAATCCCGACAAAACTTTATTTTTTTAATACAATTCAAGAATGGCATTAGAAAAGGGACAACACAACTTGTGAAAAACGGCAAAAATCTGTGTTAAGCTTCTGAAACATCGACCTTCCGAATAAACGTCGCGCTTTCTAACCAGTCGGCCAGCAATCTGTAACTAAAAATAATAGAATTCAAAAGGAAGTCTCCCAAAAAAACCTGTGATAAATGGCAAAAATTCAGGCGGCGGGTCAGAACCATCAACCTTCCAATTGAAACAAATGTGCCTTTTATTTATTTATTTCAGGCTTAAATGCCAGTTTCTCCTTCTTTTTTTGCACATGTTATTTTTTTCTGCCTGTAAATAAATAATATTATTGAAAAATCTCTCAACCAGTAGACCATATTTCTGTAATAAAATGTTTGAAAAAAATTTTTTTGGACCTTCTCTTTTTATTTTTTTCTCCTGTGAGCACTGATTGGATGGTTTTTCGGTTTTCTTTTTCAAAATTAAATCAGAAAAATTATTTCCTTGTGAGAAAACTGAGGAAATAAAACAGCTGTTCATCAGAAAAAAAGAGAGAAAAAGCCTTAAAAAAAAGTGAGAAAAAAAGGGCTTTTTCAAGGAAATTTACCATTAAAAAAAGGGCTTTTTCAAGGAAATTCATCATTAAAACTATATTCTATTCGATTTGAAAAATTTCCCCATTTTTGAATAGTTTGAAACTTCGTAATCGCACTGTTACTGCTTAAAATCGGACCCTATACAGAACAACTTTCTAGTTTTCTAACCCTTTGAGCCATTCCAAATGCGGACAAGTTGGATAGAGATACAAAAATATCCAAATTTTCATTCAGAACTTTTTTTTTTGATTCTTGGAAACCCATAAAATGTCATAAAAAACGTCGCTTCTCCTTTAATTTGAACCTGCCCGTCTGGGTTCCGCGATGATATAACTTTCTAATGTAATCAAAATTTTCCACCTGCTTCCACTCCCTGCCAGCTTCACTTAACCTAATCACAAGGGTATTTTTTTGCCTTCATGAATATTATCGTCGGGAATTCAACAATATATTGGCTTCCATTTTTTATTTTAAATGAGAAGAACCCGTCGATTTTCCTGCTTTTTATAGAAATATTATTGGATATTGTTTCGCTGTTCTTCACTTGGCAATTGTCCAGTCTTATTTTGAAGGTTGGTGCTGATTTTTTGCCCTTAGTAATGAAAATTGATTTAAAATGGCTTGATATAAAATTTCAAAAACGGAAAGATCCGCTGAAACTCAGTTTAGAAGTACTGTAAAACATCGTGAACCCTACCGAAAAATTTATTTTATCGTTTTTGGATTTTTAGTACAGTTTCAAGGTTTCAAAACTTTCTATCAATCAAATTTTAAGCGTTCACAGCTAAAAACGTGACTTTTCAATATAGTCAATGTTTCCCGACTTGAAAGGCGAGGGAGGCGGGGCAGGAGGGGGGAAGCGTAGCGTGTGCGTACGCGATTCTTGACAGGTGTTCAATTCAAGCGCCACCGACTATTTAAATAGCTCGGTCGCCGCTCTTTTTTTATATTTTCTACTATTTTTTTGATGCCCACATGAATAAAATCAATAAATAATTCAAAAAGAAATGAAAAAGAGCGATAAACGAGCTCTCCAAGTAACCGCTGGCGGTTAAATTGGACGCGTGCCAAGAACCGCGTACGCACACGCTACGCGTCCCGCCCCCTGCCCGGCCTCCCTCGCCTTTCAAGTCGGGAAACATTGACTATAATTCCACGGAAATATTGAGCTCTAATCTCACTAATTTTATTTTTAAAGTTATCTTATAGGTCAGAGCCTTCCATATCAATCTAAATATAATCTACTTCGCATTTATCGTTCAATGGTTCGATTGCTTGGCGGCTCGATGGCTGATCCTGCCTTACGAATTGGGGCTGATTCGTATCACTTGTAAGTGAATATTTTTCTATTTCGATTTTTTAATCAAACAGAAGCTTTAAAGAGTTCAGGGTAGGAAAAAAGAGTATAGAAAGTTGAGGAAAAAAATAATCGAAAATCAAAAATTCTCAGGGATTTTTTTCTTCTTTTCACACCATATCTTCACTTTAAAACTAGCCCTCTAGTTTATTTTTCCTTGTAAATCATATAAATATTATTATCACTATTCAATCTCTTGACGTAGAAAATTCATGGCCGCATTTGGAATGGCTAAAAGTGACACGCCAACCGCCCCGCATTGAGCCATTCCAAATGCGAGCAAAATTGAGCTGGAAATTTCTTACTTTTGATTTTTGAAGCAGTACTTATGATGATTTGTGTTTCAAGTGGACTTGAAAGTCATAAAATTTTTCTCCGTAATACTTCGGAAATCGATTTCAAGACAAAAAAACTAAGTTTTTTTAATTAAAATTTTGGCCAATATTCAACTTTTTTTGAGCATAACTAATAGAGAATTTGAGACTGAGTAGTTGAAAAAAATATTAGGTTCCAGCCAGAAAAAAATCTTTCAAAGTTAAAAAAATTTAAAAAAAATTCAAGCCGGAAATGGAGTCTACGCAAACTGGTACACGGAAGACGAATCGGAAATGCCGCGAATCGATCAAATTCGAAATTGTTGGCCATTATTTCTCGGCGGATATCTCAGATTTTTGTTATACTATCGCCACCTGCTTGGCCGTCGTTAGTCTGGTCTTTGAGCGCCTCGCCGCCACTTATTATTTGAGGTTTTCTATTAATCTTTCAATCAAAAAAATTTTCAGGGACTATGAAAAAACCAGCAAGCTTTATGTATCGATTATCCTTGTTTTTTCTTCAATTTCAACATGTATCATAGGGTCTTTTCTGTCTATATCTCAGATAGTAGATTTCGTTTTCTATACGAGTTTGGGTGTCTTTGGCGTGTTATTATCTTGTATTGTGAGTTTTTTTTTCTTTTTTTAAAATTTGCTCGGAGAAATTAAGGGAGTTACTTACTTTCGAAACAGGTTCTAAGAGCGTAAAAAAAATTTTTTCAATCAGAAATAAAAAAACATTTTTCAAAAAAAGCAGTGGAACAGGTACTACAAAAAAATCAACCTTAAAACAACCAAAATTGATTTTTCCAACTTTTTCAGCTATTCCAAGCGTTTATCATGTTCAATTCTTGCTAAATTTGCAAGGCTGAAAAAAATCAAGAGCTCTAACTAAATTCTCATCAAAAAAATTGCTCAAAAAAAATAAAAAAATAAAAAAAAGCTGTCAAATGTGCTCAAAAAAAGCGATTCAATATGAGCTCCCAGAATAATCTAAACTTAAAAAATGTCTAGAAAATTGAAAAACTCGTTCTTCAACTTTGTAAATCCCATAAAGAACATTTTTTAAGCTCTACGTTGTCCTCTGGAAGTACAACACAAACGTGCAGTACAAAATGGACAAGCACCATCGGTCCTTCACTTACTCGCTGGCCGCCCGTTTTCAGGCCAAGGAGAATTTCCGGGCCTTGAAGGTCTTCGTTTGAATTCTTCTTTTCGGAAAATAAATTAAGATGGCTCGCCGAACGTTTCTCGTGATAGTTTTCTTCACGGCAATCAGTTGCGTTTTATTAAATTTGGTCGTTTTCGACCTTATCAGTGAGGATTCTCAACCGACGATTATGCGGATCTACTTGGCTATTCTGAACGTGTAGGCTTTTTTTTTAAAAATATCCAGAATGAAATTTTGAAAAAGATCTATTCGAGCTGTAAAAAGTCTTGAATGAATTGAGTTTGGAGTTGAAATGATTTTCTTTTTCATTTTGATTGTAAAAATGCTTCAAGGCCTTTTATTTATTTATCTCAGGCTTAATGCCAATTTTTTCTCTCTTTTTTCTGTACATGTTATTTTTTTCTGCCTGTAAATAAATAATATTATTAAAGGCGCAGGAGCACACTGTTGACTGAGTATTCAACATTAATTCAATGAATCAAGAGTAGTCCTGCGCCTTTAAACACCGATAGAAGCTTTTCTAGGATGAAAATAAGATTATTAATAACACGGCTCATATCCAACAACTCTTAGGAGTTTTTAAAAGCGCAGGCAATCTTCTCAACTTATTTTTTTTTGTTATCCTACAACTGGAGCCAAAAAGCTTCTGCCACTGTATCCTGCGCCTTTAAAAACCACGAAAAGCTATTCTGACATAAAAAAGACATATAAACCCACTTTTTTTGTAGTTTTTCAAGGAGCAGCAGCCGTTCTTGCCTGAGTATCCAAAATTGATACCATATTTTGATCCGAAAAGCTTCTCAGGAACATCTCTGCGCCTTTGACCACATCCAGGAGCTTCTCTGAAACATAAATAAAATATTAGTTCCAAGGCTCAATTTCAAAAGAAAAAGTTACACTAATCATAGAAAAAAATTTGAATTTTTTTCATTAATTTTTTTCAAAAAAATTAAACAGAGAAACTCAATATTCAAATGCGAAGAAAATCGATTCGACCTAGTCTCTTGAAAAAAATTATTTTCACAAATTAAAAACTTTTTTTATCCAGTTTGTCTGGAATTGAGATTGGAAAAAATTTTTACGCTCTTTTTAAATATTCAAGACAACTGAAACGATTCAAACAAAAAACGGAAAAAATCTCGAAATAAAGCAAAAAAACTCCATCATAGAAAAAAACAAAGTTCGTCACAAAAAAAATTTGTTTCGAAGCACCGTGAAGGCTATTCTTCACTTCAAGACATTTTTTTCTCGATCCATCAAATCGGTTGTAACAGAAATATTCGAAAAAAACGAAATCACATTAATAAAAAAATTTTTAAAAAAATGAAATTACAATAAGTAGTATAAATTTTTTTCGAAAATGATGACATCATGTGCTATTGCGTAGCGTGTATACACAGTTCAAGACTACAGTAGCCCAAAATATGAAAATTTCCTATTTTTCTAAACAATATCAGTTTCCAACATTATGATTAAGCATCTAACCAGGTGAATCACTTCATTCAATTTCAACATTTTTTTGAATATTCTAAAAAGAATTTCCAGGAACCCAATCTACATCGCCCCAGTGATAATCTACTCAGTTCCTGAATGGCGGGAGGAATTTTTCAAGAAATTTCCAAGACTTCGAAGGAAACAGCGAAAAGTTCAGCCGGTGCCAACGATAACGTTGGAGATTTCAAACGATGAGATGGAAATTTATTTTGCTCAGTTTCAAAAAGTTTGGTGATTAAATTTTGTATTTTGAACATTTTTTTGTGCTTGAAAATGAAGATTTCTATTTTAATCTTCCGATCATCACAGTTCAATCATTCTCCGTTAAAAAAACTTTTTTAAAAGGGGTCCAGAAGGCAAAAAAAGAGGCTGAATCGTGAATTTCAAGTGTTCTTCTGAATAGAAAATCGTCACACATGCAGATTTCTTCTAATAAATCTTGTTATTCATCATTTTTCAAGCTTGGTGGCTCCAAAAAAGTCACTAATAAGCGGTTTACGCTCCACTGCAAACTAAGAATATTAGAACAAAAAAATTTCCTCATTATTATTTGCACATTCTCTCATTTTTTTCGAATCGATCAGCATCCTCTTCTTAAATTTAAGATTCTTAGTAAACACATATTTATTCCTTAAGAAGAGAGCCAAGGGGTCACTTAAGAGGTTCAGCGCAGGATTTAATTAATTCTACTGAACATTTTTTTGAATTTTGCTAGTTGCTAAGAGGCCCCTTAAGTGGCGAATTGGGAAAAATTCTCTTGAGGGGTAATTTACTACCGTCAAGTGGCCACTTAAGGCTTTCTGATTTAAATTTCCTCATTTTTTATTTCACTTCGATTTCCCTCTGTTTCTTGAGAAGTTTTGGAAACTCTTAAGGGATCACTTGGAAAAGTATCAAATAACCCTGTTTCCTCCTCAAAACGTCACTTTAGGGAGTTTGAAATTACACTAAAAATCCATTTTTGACTAAAAAAAGTCTATAAAGTCTCTGATTTTTTTGAGAAATTTCTCAAGTAGTCCCTCAATTTCAAACCTCAAGGGGCCACTTGAATCTCCGCCTTCATGAAAACAGATCCGGCTTTTTTTTTAGAATATTCTTTGAACTTCTAGTAAAAATTGCTTTTTCAAGAAATTTAGGGACTCGGAAATCGGGCTGAAAAAATCTATTTTGACTCCTCAAAAATCTCTAAGAAGTTTCTCAAGTAGCCACTTGAACTTAATCCTCAAGGGGTCACTTAAAAAAAACAACGCCTACATGAAAAAAATCCAGGTTTTTTTCAATATTTTTTTCTTGAATCTTTAGTAAAAAAACTGCTTTTTTTAAGACTGAAATTCCCTTTTTCTCTCTTTTAATTTTTGAGATTTTTTTATGGAATTTATAAAATACTCTATTCTAGGCAATCACGTTTTCCACTAGCTCTTGATCTTTGAAGCCTTCAACACCGAAAGAAAAAAAACCTCGTTTTTTTCAGAAAAGCACCTGAAAAGACGTCTTGTTCTAACTCAACAAACTTGCCCAGTTTTCTTTCTTGTTTTAATATTTACATTCAATTTTTGTGGATTTTTCTCACTCTGAACCTTCTTTTTTTCCCCTTTCAAAGCGAATAACAAGAAAAATAAAGACTTCGTGAGTTTTTTTATGCCTAATCTAGTTCAGTTGGAATTGGATTTACTTTTTGGATTTTTCGAAAAAAAGGCTTTTTTCAGAATAGAGTTATTATAAGGTCATTTTTTTCAACAGGAAAATAAAACGCAAAAAAAGCGTCATTAGAAGTTTAATTATAACTGTGAAAACATATAATCAAAAAGATCCTTATGAATTATAAACCCGTAATTTTTTTCCATGCACATCTTCGGTTAAACTTAAATTTGAAGTGACTTTTTTTGTGAAAAAGAAAAATTCTTTCAGTTCATCATATTTTTTTCTTATTTTTTTATAGATTTTTTTCAAGATTTAACTAAAAAGCATTCTGTTGAAAAAAATTCAAAGAAGGTCGAAAGTAGGAGAATTTCGCTCTTGTTTCAGTCATGGCCCGAGCAAGTCCCAAGTTCTAAACATGAAATCGAAATGAATATTTTTTTACTCATTTTTTAAAGTTCTATGCCACGGCGTTTCTGCCAGTTGAAGAAAATGCAAGGAATTTGAAACTCGGCAAAGTCTGCGCACTTCTCGAAATTCGCCCGCGAAATTTGAAAAAGTGGCTTTATTTTTGATTTTTTGTCAATTTTTTCATATTTTTTCACTTTTTCTTTTCGTAGATTGCTGATAGTATTGCGGGACCACGATCGGGGTATACTCTGGGTTGTTAGACGTTTTTTTGAAAGTAGTTCTGTGAGGCTAACTTTAAAACTCGTGATGAAGAAGCGTTTTGAAAAATCTCCACCTGTTTGTATGGAACATGTTTCACCCCATTTTATGTTTTTCTTATTCTATTTTTTTGTCGATTGTTCAGATTCCTAGGTTGTGGACATCAATGAGATGAAGTTACATGAAAAAAAGTCTGTGAAGTTGAGAAAGTATGTTCCGAATTCATTTATATCCGGATATTCCGTCAACTTTTTTATAATAAAAAAAGTACTTGCTGTAAAACATCTTTTATTTGTTTCTCAACAGCAATATAGTTTTTATTTAATCTCTTTTAATTTCCTCGTCTTTTTTTCTTCAATGTTCATTCGTTTCTCACACTTACTCAGGCACTGGTGCGCGCACGCGCGGGGTACTGATTCTTTTTTTCGCCTTTTTTTCACTGAAATACGGTTTTGAAATAGATTTTTTTATATTTTTTTGTGATACTACCTTGTGTCCCTGCTCACGTTTTTAAAGTTGTTCCGAGCACTTTCGAACAAATTTATGAAAAAAAGAATTGCCAAGTGAAACTTTGATATTTAAAAATTTTTTTGGGCAATCTAATTGTTATAAACTGGTGCAGAGCAATGTTAAGAGATGAACAGACATGAAAAATATTAAATTTATAACTTTTCAATTAGTTAAAAAGCTAAAAAACAAAAGAGACACCCCGCGCGTGCGCGCAGCAGGCGGCGCGCATGCGCACTTTTGGCAACAAACACGCGCCGTCAGTGCCTGAGTATATCATCGGTTAACCTTATTTTCCAAATTTTTTGTGCATGCACTAAACACGTCCTAATTGACGGAGAAAAGTGGGCGGGGCGTCGCAAAAGAAACACCGTGATGCTGCTCTGTCACATGAATACCGCTTTTAAAACTCACAAAATTTAAGGAAAAGCCAAAAATTCAAATTTTTTTGGTCTGCCCAGGGAGAATTTTGATCTTTTCTTAATCCCGGCCCAAGAAAGTCCCGAGCTTTAACCAAAAAACCAAAAAAATAATTTCCTCAATTTTTTTCAGTTCTATCACTTTTCGTTACATGAATATCGTTGTGAAAAGGCAGGTCTGTAAGAAAAAAAAAACCGAAAATCCAATTTCTTGGTTTTTAGTTTTTCAATTTCAAAATTTTCTTTTGAAAGTTACTTTTTGTTCTTGAATCTCGGTAACGGAAACCTGACATTTATGAGCATTTCTAGGGATCACTTAGGAGTGCTGACGCCACTAAAGTGGTCACTAGAAATTCTCAGAAAGGTCCAGAGCACTTTCGAACTTTTTTTAAGAATTGTATACAATCGCTGTTAAATTTTTTGAGCGGCCTGAAAATTTGCAATTTAAAGGTCCGATTTGTAAGTCCCAGAAAAAGTCTCGATCCATTCCTCGTTTAAAAATCGACTAGAAAATCCGAAAGTCGCCTTTTTCCAGTCAAAAAATGAACCTAATCCTCAACAACACCACCATAATATGGCTACCAATGTTCGTTCTGAATGAAGCCGGCAAAAACGACTATCCAACCGTTCAGTATTATATGATGGCTGGGGAAGCTCTAGTGGACATTATTTCCATATTTTGCACCTGCGTCATGATGAAGATCATTTTTTGCATTCGTCCGTTTCAAACTCAGACCGGCTGCAAATGACCTTAGAAAGCAGCTGAAATCCGCTTACCTCAGAAAATAAGATGCAGCCGTTCGTTCAAGTGCGAAAATGCAGATAAAATGAACAACCGAAACAATGTAGGCGAATCGGAAGAAGCCGCCCAAAATCAGTGGGAAACAAGTCCAGACGAAGTCGGCGTGTGGCATTTCTCTCACGTCTTCCGTGTACCACGAGGCGTACCTTTTGTCCAAAACTGAAAAATGAAATTTTGAAGCAAATCTTGAGTAGGAAAAATGGTTGGAAACTTCTTGAAATGAGAAAAAAAGACTGTTTTTTGAGAATATTAGGCTTCAATAGAAGCTATTCCAAGTTTCAAGCGAAGATTATGAGAAGGAAAATCTTCAGAAAATAGAAATACTCGAATTCTCGATGGAGCGTATATTCTTCGCTATCCTAGGCGGTTTTTTTCTAACTATTTGACGGAAATCGGGATCAATGACACCGCTTTTTGATATGACAGAAAATAGGAAAAATTAAATTCGTGAACGCCTTACTTATCCATGGAGCGCACAATCTCTTCCAAAAGCGGCTGTTTATGTTTTTGAAGGACAGAATGCCTCTTTTTATCCATGGAGCGCATTATCTCTTCTAAAGACGGCTATTTTTTTGTTTTTTGAAGAATAAAAGGCCTCACTTATCCATGGGGCGCAGAATCCCTTTCAAAGACGGTCTTTTTGGAAGATCGTAATGCCTCAATTATCCGTGGAGCGCATAATCTCTTTGAACGGCGGCTGTTTTTTTCAAAAAAATAATATGCCTCACTGATCCATGGGGTTGTTGATTAAGGGCACATGGGCAGAAAAAAATGATGATATTTCAGGACAAATAAATGTCATTTTTTTGAGAGGTTTTCATGGAAATTTCAAAAAGTCTTGGGGTCTTGAAAAAAAAATAGGTCCCAAGTCAGCAAAAATAGTAATACTTTTTTTGAAATGAAAAAGATTTTTTTAGTGCTTTCTGTGAGAAGAAATTCCAATTTCGGAGAATTTTCGGAAGACACAAATTGAGAAAAAAGCAAAAGTACGTTAAATGGATCATTATAGACCTTGCACCCGACTAAAAACGACTTGCTCATGCCAAAAATGCCAATCTTTCGAATATTTTGGAGACATGAAGAGACAAGAGATGGCTGAAGAGACGCCAGAAAAGCTAGAAAGTCTCTATTTCTCTGACGTCTCTTCAGGTCGCCGTTGTTCTCTCAAAAGTCCGAAAAGGCGAGATAAAGAGAGGCCAGAGAAGCTAGAAGGTCGCTCTTTCTCTGGCATCTCTTCAGGTCGCCGTTGATCTCTCTTCTCTCTCCTCCAATTTTTTTGCTTCAGTACAAAATCCCAATTTTTTTCAGAGACTACGAGCACCAGTCCAAAAGCTTCATATCAATAGTTCTTCTCACTTGGTCTTCAATATCGGTCATAATTTTCGCCACGGTCAGCGTCATACAAATCCTCACTTATCTGACTTTTACTTTGCTTGGAATGCTAGGAATCGTCGTGTCTTGCACAGTAAGTTTTTCGACCATTTACTCCGTAATCTTCTGACAAAAAAAAATCACCAGAAGCATCTGAAACCTCTCATTTTTCCTCACTATATCGTTGATCAATTAGAAACCTTAGAAACCGCCCTAAAACAGTGCTGAATGAACTATAGTCTATTTAGCCGCATTAGAAAATTTTGAAAGCCTTGCTTTTGGCATAAATCTTCGCGAAAGTCGTTTCTGGTCGGGCGCATCTCGATTTCAAGCCATTCCTTATTTGGCACAATTTCCAGGTGTTTATCTGCTTATGGTATTACAACCTGAGTGTCCAAGGGAAAAATGGACCATGAATATCGGACTTTTGCCTATTCTTTAGCTGCTCGATTTCAGGCCAAGGAGAATTTGAAAGCGATGCAGGTCAGTTTTTTTCACTAGAATTTGCAGAGAATGCATAGAGAGAGAGGATTTCTGACTTCTCTGGTGTCTCTTCAGGCCGTTGTTGATCTCACGCTAATTTTTTTCTACCTTTTTTGATGATACTCTTAAAAGATCAACGGAGACCTGAAGAGAGACCAGAGAAAGAGAGACCGCCTAGCTTCTCTGCAGTCTCTTCAGGTCGTTGTTGATCTCTCGCTACCTTTTTTTCTGCCTTATTCGATGAAACTTCCAAAAGATCAACAACGGCCTGAAGAGAGACCAGAGAAAAAGAGACAATCTAGCTTCTCTGGCGTCTCTTCAGGCCGCCGTTGATCTCTCGCTACCTATTTTGTCACTTGGTAAAACTTCTAAAAGATCAACGGAGACCTGAAGAGAGCAACCAGAGAAAGAAAGACCCCTAGCTTCTCTGGTGTCTCTTCAAGCCGTTGTTGATCTTTCGCTACTCTTTCTCTGCCTTGAAAGAACTTCTAAAAGATCAACAGCAACTTGAAGAAAAACCAGAGAAAGAGAGACTGTCTAGCTTCTCTGGTGTCTCTTCAGGCCATCGTTGATCTCTCGCTACCTATTTTGTCACTTGGTAAAACTCCTGGAAGATTAACAGCGACCTGAAGAGAGACCAGAGAACTAGCTATTGTCTGCCTTCAAAGAACTTCTAAAAGATCAACAACGACCTGAAGAGAGACCAGAGAAAAAGATACAATCCAGTTTCTCTGCCGTCTCTTCAGGCCTCTCCGATCTCTCACTACCTATCAACTTTTAGATGGCCAAAAGAACCTTCATGCTCATCGCAGTGGCGGGTAGTCTATTCGCATTTTTCCTAAGTTGCGTCGTTTTGGAACTTGTTTCAACAACTTACCAAGCTATATTTATACGGCTGGTTTATATTATCATCAACATGTTCGTTCAAAGTTTGATTTTTCCTGACTTTCTCAGATTTTTAGGAGCCCCGTAGCGCTGGCACCAGTGATTTTATACTCTGTTCCAGCCTACAAAACGGCCTTTTTCAAAATGTTCCCAGTTTTAAATTTGAGAAACCGAAGAGAGAGCAAAGTACGGCCAAAGATTCAGCTGGCACGGGTCAACGAGACGGAAATGTACTTTGATCAGTTCAATAAAGCTTGGTGACAAGAGAATCTATTTTTCTTGAGTTTAAAAAGATGAAAAAGTGATGGAAAATATACAGGTATGTACAATCTTCAAGGAAAAGGCTTGAAAGTATCTTTAAGCATGTTACTCAGCGCAAGCCGTTTTTGGTCGGGCGCAGAAATCCGGCCATTCCAAGCGCGCCCATGGTTTCCGATTCAAAAAAATCGATGAAAAAGCTTCTTCGAAAAAAATGATAGTACTCTCAATTCTCGAAATTAATCTACGACCGCACTCAGAATGGCTAAGAAAGCCGTTTTTGGTCCGGCGCACATTTTAAGCCATTCAGAACTTGATAAACATCATTATATCTAAAATATCCTCGTGGAAAAAATTCCGAGAATATATTCATTATGTACAAATTTGCTCCATCTCGACAAAAAAAAAACTATGAGTGGTCCGGCGCAAGTCGTTTCTCGGTCGGTTGCACATCACCAAACTTCTTTCAACTGTTGAAAATAGTGATCTCCTTCGTGATGTACAGGTATTGTCGGATTTTTCTTGTATTTCAGAAAAGATAGTCTATTCATAGCTTCTTCTCGCCAAACGGGTACCGATAGAACTATAGTTGGGACAAGATATAGTGGATTTCTGGAAAGATTAAGGTTACATATGTATATCTTTTGAAAAAAACTCTTTTTTTCCAATATTTCCCCTATATGATTGATACTCACCCAAGGACAATGGTTTCATAGATAAAGTAGTAGATTCGTGAAGATGCTAAGATGTCGAATATCAATAATGTGACCAGAGAAAGTGCGAAAGTCATAATCGTTCCGAAAACCAACAAATTGTTGAAAAGGACCTTGAGAAGGAAATTTTGGAAGATTTTTTTTTTCTTGAAAATTACCTTCATAGATCTAGCGTTTTCCTTGGATTGGAATCTGATTGTCAAAGTATATTCGACATTATTGGTTCTTGCGCCACTCAGTCTCTTTCCCAGCTTATGATTGTACCTCCAGATGAATATATAGACCTTCAATTGCACGAAACATCATACAGTTTTCGATGTTCCTAACTTTTTGGGCCGCATTGGAAATGGCTGAGCGCGTTATGGACTTAACGCGTCGCAGCCGCTACGTGTTAAGCACGCATTTGGAATGACTGAACGCGGTGGGGCTCAGAATGCCGTGATTTTCAAGTCGCTTTAGGTCGGGCGCCCATTTATGGGGACCGCAGCCGCATTTAAAAATGGCTGAATGCGTTGCGGTTGCGTTGCGGCTCAGAATGTTGCGATTTCAAGTCGCTTTAGATCAGATGCACATTTATTGTGACCGCGTCGTAGCCGCACTTGAAATGGCTGAACGCGTTGCGGTTGCGTTGCGGCTCAGAATGCTGCGATTTTCAAGTCGCTTTAGATCAGATGCACATTTATTGTGACCACAATTGGAATAGCTGAACGCGTTGCGGTTGCGTTGCGGTCGCGTTGGGGTTCAGAAAGCTGCGATTTCAAATCGCTTTAGGTTGGACATTGATTGTGACCGCATCGCAGTCGCATTTGAAATGACTGAACGCGTAGCGGCTGAAATTTCCAAGTCGCTTCAGGTCGGATGCACATTCATTCCGACCGCGTCACAGCCGCTACGCGTTGAGGCCGCATTTGAAATGACTTAACGTGTTTCGGTTGCGTTGCGGCTCAAAATGCTGCGACTTCAAGTCGCTTTAGGTAAGATTCTTATTCATTTTGACCGGGTCGCAGCCGCATTTAAGAAGGCTATAAATAAATGAATATTCAAATATTCAAGGCTGAGAGCGTTAACTATTACCCTTTGAAAGTTGAATAATGAATAAAAAAGCGAATCCATTCAAAATGAAGTTTTAGGTTTCAAAACTGATAATTCCTACTCCTGCGCCGTCTCGCTGTTTATATGCTCCATAGCCACATTTGGAATGGCTCAAGCCAATTTTTTACTGGTTATGTGCCTTCAAGATCCACTCACCGCAGTTGTAATCGATGCACCGATCAGAATAGCTGCAATCAAAGCCGGCACATCAACACTATGTGTCAAGCTCCAAATTACACCAACAAAGGCAAGAATATTGCAGAAAATAAGTATGGATGTTGAAACAGCCGTCTTTCTCTGTTTTTCGTAATTCCTTAACAAAATAATGAAAGGAAAAAAATCTCATGCCTAGATTAGTTATTCAAAAACAGCCTAGTCGTTTCGAAAAAAAAAGCAGCTTTTTACGCTCCAGAGCAAAATATCGGCTAAAGAGCCCATTTTTTCAGTCCCGCGGTCTAAACTTGAAAATTCATCACGCAAAAGATATTACGAAAATAGTCGTCTAGATCTTGTCGACTTTTCAAAAAAATAAGCTCTAGAATCCATGATTTCGTCTTGACGGGGCTGAAGTTCTTAGTATTCGCATCCTAGCTCCAACCTTTTTTTTAGAGGTTTCTAGGTTAAAAATTTTTGCCCCAATTTTTTTGTAAAATAACACCTTAATTTTTATAATTTTTTGCGATTCAAGACTAATTTTAGCTTGTAAAATTGAATTTCCTTGAGTTCAGAGGCCAATTTCATGAAAAAAATAGTCTGGATACGTACAAACGTTTTCTTCGAAAAAAAAAATTCAAATAGAGTTGATTTTCGAGCCCATCGATTAGCAACAGAGCATACAAGACCCATGGCTATTTCTTCACAAATCCTTCTTCAAAAAAAGACAAACTTGATCCAAAAAGTCGCAAAACACCGTTCTGCTATAATCGCCGGCATCATGGACAACATCATCAAATGATAATACCAACGGCCAAAAACGGCGACGAAAAATGGTAAAGTTTGTGGGTTTAAGTGGACCGTTGGTATAAGTGTTGTATTGTTGGTTATTATGTACATATAATGTTTTTTTGGGTCTGAAAAGAAACCCGATGAGTTTTTGATGTTTATTAGGGTTGATATAAACAGAGAGAAATTTCAGAACTTTCTGAAAATCGGCCTTGAGTCATAGTCAATTGAAAGCCGCCTTTTTCAGCCGTCCAAAATCGCAGTTTTCTGATTTTTTTGGAATCGAAAAACCTCTCAGAAGGGTTTTATAAATCAATAAATTGTATTTTCTCGCAACTCCCGAGCTGAATGAATTTCATTAACCAGGTGGTAAGATTCTAGGTCCTTTTATCAAAAATAATTATTTTTGAGGTTGAGATCAATCTAGTCCATTGAGGATTGTTCCGGATAATTTTCAGAAAATAAAAAAATTCATAAGATTTCAACTCACCTGTAATCAGAAGCCAACCTTTCTCATAGGGGAACTCCAGAATCCTAGCCGATAAATAGACAAACCAAAGGGAATAGTAGAAAATGACCAGCCTGCTCATATTTACATGAAAAGCTTGGACTTTTCGGACCAGACGGCAGAATACAATAGTCATAACAACAGAGGATGTTTCAACTAGAAGCTCAAAAATAAGAAGGATCCAGAAAGTCGAGTCGATATCCGGGTCATTTATGATAAAAAATGGGACGAATACAGAGGTAGAGTTCCAAAGGAACAAGTTCATGCTTCAAAATGATATTATTATTTTTTTCGGGCGCTTCTCAGACTTCGATATGGCAACGTACAATTAACATATGTTCATTTCTCAGAGAAAGGACAGCCCTTCTTGTGATCGGTGAGCATTGCGTAGCAATTTTCGAAGTTGGCGTGCCTTTGCCAAATTTGGGGTTACGCCTACTTGGAAGAAAAGAGCAAAAAAAGTCTAGCTTGAGTATTTTTCGACGCTTAGCAGCGTTTTTGAGTCATATTGTCCATTGATAAGATCTATAGTTTGAAGAAAAGAGGAAACAATTGACCTGAGAGAGATTGAGAGCTGGTTCATGTTCATGGTCTAGAGGCTAAGTCGATAGAACGTGGAAACCAGGACTTATGTTCGGCTCTTCTAAGCGTTTTTGCCGAGGAAAAGATCCATTCAAGTAGGATCCGTTGAGGTCAGGTTTGGTGTAGTGGCTAAGACTTTGGAATGTGAAAATCGGGACCAATTTTCGGTTCCCTCAAGCGTTTTTTGCAACGAAAAAACCCACTCAACAAGGTTTCGTTGAGGCCAAGTTAAACTGGCTATTTAGTGCAGTGGCTAAGATCTTGGAGTGTGGAAATCGGGACCAATGTTCTGTTCCTCTAAGCGTTTTTGCCAACCAAAAAAGCCCCCTCAAGTAGGTTTTTTTGAGGTCAAGTTAAACTGACCATTTAGTGTAGTGGCTAAGATCTTGGAGTGTGGAAATCGGGACCAATGTTCTGTTCCTCTAAGCGTTTTTGCCAACCAAAAAAGCCCCCTCAAGTAGGTTTTTTTGAGGTCAAGTTAAACTGACCATTTAGTGTAGTGGCTAAGATCTTGGAGTGTGGAAATCGGGACCAATGTTCGGTTCCCTCTAAGCGTTTTTGCCGAGGAAAAGATCCATAGTCAAGTGGGATCCGTTGAGGTCAGGTTTGGTGTAGTGGCTGAGATCTTGGGATGCAAACATCGGGACCAATGTTCGGTCCCTCTTGCCGTTTTTGTCAACGAAAAAAGCCCCCTCAAGTAGGTTTCTTTGAGGCCAAGTTAAACCGACTATTTTTAGTGCAGTGGCTAAGATCTTGGGATGTGGAAAATAGATGCAAGGTTCAGTTCCTCTCTTCCTTATTTTTATGAGTTAAAGTCAAAACGGCTTTCTAATAAACTACCTAATTAATGAACGTTTTTATACGCAAATTAGGCCAAAAAAGCGCTATGTCAGGCTTTTGAAGTGTTCTAACTCGAAAACGAGATCTATTGCGAGAAATTGTTTTTCTGTTCTGGAATCAAGGGGTCTTAAAATGCACTTCAACAAAGTTTCAGCAAAATTTCAACCGGGGGGTAAAAAATGTTCCTTAGTTAGATTTATGCACGTGAAAGAAGGTCCAAAGTTCAGCTCCACCCGGAGTTTCTGCCTGATTTTCAATCTATCAGTCTGTTTTCCCTTCTTCCCTATAAACTTTAAAATTGAGTACTTGGAATAAAAAAACGTTACTTCGAAATTGAATCACGCTGTGAATATTCCAACCATCCCTTCAATTAGGCGTCTAGTACTTTGCTTTTCAAAAACACTGAGTTATATTGATGACGGGAAACTTTTTTCAACTTTCACAAGTAAAAAAAGTGACTCAGCGATTTTTGACGTGTTTTGGAAAAGTCTATAAAATGGAAGGAACACTAAAAAGAAGCAAAAAATACTTGAGTGTTTCCTAAATGGCTTAAAAACCTTCGGACTTTTTTGAAATTTTTCAAAAATCTCATCTCACTTTTTGTAGATGGGTCGCAAGGCGTATTCGTTAAGGGAAGAAGATTCAAAACAAAAAAAAATGAAGGGGGTGGAGTCAAAACCTTTGCCGTTCCCATTTGAGCGTAAACAAGAGGGAATATTAAAGGCGCATGTTCAATGGGTCATGAGACGAATCTTTAAAAAATCGCATTTTTCCAGTTTCATTTTTTTTAAAGCCCATTTTGTGTTCAAAGCAATTCCGTGAAATTCAAAATATATTTGAAATTCTCGAAAATTACTTTGAACACGGCGTGTGCGGGAGCGCCGCAGTGTATGCACACGACACACTACACATTACGGAAAAAATATGTCAAAAAAATGCCGAGGTTGGCTAAAACGAAAAAATAGCAAGTTCCACATTTCTGTACTCTTATATTTTCTCGTACAAAAAAGGCTCACGAAGCTTCCAAGTGCGCCCGACTTGAAACGACTTTAAAGTAAGAGACGCTACGCGACCGCAACGCTTCGAATAGTTCCAAACGCGATCGGAAGGCTTCAAATTGTAGAGAATGGAGTATGAAAAGGCCTCAAAAAGTGAATTTTGATCTTCGACCTTTCATTCAAAAACAGCGGCATATCTCTTTTTTTAGTATCGCAGGTGTTTCAGTAGAGTTTTAAAAATGAGAAACATCTTTTTTTTTTTTTGCTGTTTACTCCGTTTCGTTTTCCGCTTTTGAATATTTTTATTGCAGAGTAAGTAATTGGATTTATTTCGGATATCATTTTTTTAACATTTTCAAAACATTCATTAAAAAAAGTATATGATAGAACCTAGAAAAAGAGAAAGAATAGCAATTCAGAAAAAAAATCGGAAAAAGTTAATATATTTCCATTAACAAGGGAGCTGCAAAAAGAAACACTTTGAGAAATAATGAAAGACTTCGAAAATCTTAAGATCAGACCCATTCCAAATGCGGCCATGAAATCACAGTCTGTGGCAGTTTATTTTAAAAAATGACACCAATAAAGATTTTTTTACAAATAACCGTGAAATAATCGACAATCTTGAAATAACAGAAGCTTTCGGCGGGGTTTTTAACTGGGAAAATGTTTAGTGGCCACTTAAGGGTTTTTCAGTTTTAGTTTAGTGGCCACTTTAGTAGTCGAATTAGTGACCACTTAATAGACTGAAATTTAGTGGCCTCTTTAGAAGTCTCCGTTGAACCACTGGACCACTAAAAACTACAATACTGGATGCTGGTTTTTTAAAGCCCCTTCAGCTTCCTCTCCCAGTGGTCCTTGAGGAACCTCTTAAGTGGCCACTGGAGTTATTTCCAGTGAGAAGATATTATAATGTACAAAAAAAAGGTTGGTTATGTACAAAATTTGTGAGCCGGCGCA